CTTGACCTCGAGAGACGACAGTGAGTACTTACACCGCTCATTGACCTGCACTAACGCATCTAGATATGAAGTGCGAGCCAAGCTCAAGAAAGTCCGCGGCGGTGGCAGTGCCGACCCTTTCGAGATTGATGAGACGGACCCGGGGATCGGCTCGGAGCGGCGCACTCTTCGTCGCGAACTCGAGAAGTGGCGCGACCTGCAAGCCTCTGTAATGCCTCACATCGACTTCCCCGACGTCGAGGCGGACGAAGCCGGGAAGGATGATGAAGACTGCGGGTCGCCCGAAGATGAACCCTTGGTTGTTCCTTCGGACTTCTCCACCTCGGAGCGCAAAGACCTCGGCCTCGAAGCGTTAGCTGTTTTCGAACGTCGCATCCGCCTAGGCCACGCCTATGATCTGCTGAACGCAGTGAAGATGTCGGTGAACCACCAGGGTGCGTTTCTCTCCGACAAGCGCAAGCACGCGCGTGGTCAGAAGGACAATACTCGGTCGCAAAAGCAGGTGTCCGCCGCCGCCGCACGGACGCGAGTGCTGGCTGGCTTGTACAATTACAACCGCGACCGTCTGCTCGCCTTGTCCACACCGCTACCTCCGACATCCTCAAACCAATCAATATGGAGCAAGACCTCAAAAGCAAGAACTGGAGAAAGCCCCGCGAACAGGGCGATAGTCGCGAGGAGCAATCGTGGATATGGACTGCCATCCCACCTTGGACGAGCAAGACTGACGCAGATGCTTGGCAACTAGAAGGTCAGTCGTCGGTGTAAGTTGGTTTTCGCGACGCTAACTATTGTTGAAGTCGATCGAGTCCAGTGGTTCCGAGCTCGGCGGACCTGGCACGAATCAACGAAGAGATTAACAAGCTGCATGCCGAGTTCAAGCGCACGATACTCGGCTTCAAAAACCTGTCCCTGGCATGGGAGTCCGCCGCTCTGAAGACTCAGCTCTCGGACGGTTCACGCGCGTATGCAAGGAAGAAAGCTGACATGTTCCAAAAGCTCAGTGATCAATGCTCAGAGACGTTCGCGAAGGCGCGTAGGGATCCCGAGAGAAGTGGGATTACTCCGATGTAAGTCGTACTGTCGGGGCTGCTATGGTACTGACGCTCTGCACTAGACTACGAAAGTGGGGATTCGGAGACCCCTGAGGTCGCTGGACACGCGGAGGGGGAGAAGCAGGACGAGCAGAGGCGAGGGGTCGAGGGATCTGGGCGACGAGCATGAAGGAACTCTTTGCATGTCTGAGGAAGGTAGCACCCAGGTGTGTTCTATCTCGCGCCCGGCTGGGCCTTACTGCGCATGCTGACGTTGTCTGCGGAAGCATGCCAGGCAAGAGCCTGCGCTACCTCCCTGGCAACGCTTGTGGTCCCCTGCTGGCTGCCAACGTTTCGTCTCCTGACGCCCATGTGGGGATGGATGCTCAGGCTTTGCCGGGTGACCCCATCCTCCTTGTGTCGTAGGAGAATGCGCGCTGGTCTCCTGCGGCGTCCGCCTGCTATTTGTTGCCGAGCCCGCGTCGGCGTGCACGAGCACGCCTCTGGATGTCCTGCGGCAAGCTGCGTTGATGTTCGCGTTGGGATCGGCCCGGGTGATCGCATCCGCAGTTTGCTAAAGGAAGCCCGCCGCGCCGCTCTCTAGCTCGTGCACGGAGCCTCACTCCAACTGTCGTTGGGCTTCTCCACCCTCACCGCCGGGTGTGCCGGCGTGCCTCAAAGCTCCCAACCATGCGCCAACTGTGCGCACCCGGCTTGCCTGACCCTTTTCGTACTTGTACTGTGATGCATATTACGCTCCCCGCCTCTGCCTGCCCTCCGCAAGTTCGTCTCGCCGGCACCTGCTGGCACCGCCCTGGCGCGCTGGCGGCCCTCCCATGTGGCCTCCTTCCTTCTGGGCGACGAGAATAGTCATGTTGTATGCTAGGATTAGAATTGTTTTGGGGTTTGGATAAGAGAGTACGCATGCTACAGCTAATTCTATAGTACTGTACCTCTGCTCGAGAAAGCGCGCATGGAGGAGGTCGTCGGGCCTTTGTGCGAGTGTCAAGCTCGTGCAGCAAGCTGCACCCTTCGCGGGCTGACCTCGGCCCCAAACCTCCGTCTAGCTCGCCCTCGACATTCCTTGACGTGGTCTACGACTGGCACGGACTGTTTGGATCATGTCCAAAGGCACCTGGTCGAATCCATCACACGCCAGCACCCACTCATCCACAGCCCCTTCATCGCCCTCAAGTCACTTCGTCACCTGCCACCGGCAGCGGCCCGTCACCTTCGCCTGGCGTACGTCCCCTACTGCGCCGGCCACACGTCACCCCGCAAACGTTGTCGCCCATCGTTTCATCCACGCGCCTCACTCCGCCCATCGTTGCCGATTGCTGGCCGTTGTCCCCGCCACCCTGCCCTTCGCCACCGCGGCTCACGCATCACCCTCACGCCTGCCCGTCGTCCACGTCACATATCGTCTGCCCTGCCCACTATCAGCCATGGCTGACTTTGCTCACCGTGGCACGCAGCCCTTCGATCCGAATACCGCGGAGTTACCGCTCTCGGACGGTTAACCCTTTTGGGCACACCGATGCGCGTGCTTGACTCGCGCTCTCTCACCGCCTGCCACCCTTGCCCACCTCCCGCCGTTCAGTCTGTCGCCCTCCCGACCTCAGATCACCGCCCTCGCCCACGGATACATCATGCCCAACCTGCCCTCAAGAATCTGCCATTGCGCAGGCCGCAGGCGCCACGCAAACGCGCCGGCGCGGACACGTTCGCAACTCTCAAACCAGCGCGACGAGCGGTCGCTACGGGCTCTAGCGACGCGTCAAAATCGTGGCTGCGGCCGTGAATGGGGTGGGGAGTTGAGGATCAGGTGGAAGAGGAAGGAACGAGGGTGCATGTGCCCAGCGGGGCTGCCAGAGCAGGTGAGTCGCCCCCGCCGCCCCCTTCGCTACTACCCATAAAAACCGCTTTAGTATGCATCTCCGGCAGCGTGCTGCGTGGTCGACGCCTGCAGACCCCGGCGAGGTCTGCCGAGGCCGCCGCGTCGTGAGATGCTAGCGAAGCCACCACGCGGTCGTCAACAGAGGCCCAAGACCCGAGGTCCCACCATCCTCATGCAGGGCTCGGGGAATGTCACCATGCGTCGCCCCAGGGGTGCTTGCTGCCGTGAAAGTACACATCGGGCACGAGGACCACGAATGAGCGATGTTCCGCGAACAAGCACCCGACTAAGGACCCGACCAACAGTAGCCCGTTGAGCACGGCCCCAGAGAGCGCGGATGACTGCGAGCCCGGCTAGCAAGAGTCAGCCCCAGTGCGACCCCACCGGACATGACACGGATGAGCGCGACGCAGGTGAGTACGAACCCGCTCGCGGAGGAGCGACACGAGGCTCAGTGTCAACAGGACTCGCACGACGCTGACGTGCGCGGCGCACACGAGCTCGACGATACAGTGCGCGGCCACGGGATGACGATGGGAAGCAGGAGGTTATAAAGGAGCATCCCGGTGAGGGCCAGCGGACCCATGACGAGACCTGATCGGGAGAACGCCCAGGGCGCGTGCGATCAGTATATGTGCAGCCAAGACAGACCTGCTGAGCAGGAGATCGCCGCGGTTGAGCCCGGCAAATCCAAGCACGAGAGGGACGGCCGTCAACGAGCAGTTGCACGCCGTGGACGAGTCCTGAAGCAGGTGCCCGCGAAGTGAGCAGAATCGGAATTGACGCAACGAGGATGACCACAAATATGACCAGGATGTGCTGACCAAGACAAACACGAGCGGGATGAGTGAGTGTGGGCACCATGAGCACGAGCAGATCGAATGTGACGGGCATGGGTGTACCGTGATACGGATGAGTAGTAGTATGGATTAGTAGTAGCCTAAGTACGGATTAGTAATAGCTTAAGTACGGGTTAGTAGTGGCCTAAGTATAGATTAGTAGTAGCCTAAGTACAGAGTAGTAGTACTGTATGTACCAGCCTAAGTACGGATTAGTATGGCTTAGTAGTAGCTTAAGTACGGGTTGGTAGTGGGCTAAGTACAGAGGAGAAGTACAGAGGATTAGTAGGAGCCTAAGTACAGATTAGGAGTAGCTTAAGTACAGATTAGGAGTAGCTTAAGTAGAGAGTAGTAGTACTGTATGTACAGATGTGTAGGAGTGTAAGTGTGGATTAGTACGGATTAGTAAGAGTTTACATACAGATTAGTAGTAGCCTAAGTGCAGATTAGTAGTAGCTTAAGTACAGAGGAGTAGTAGTGTAAGGATGGATTAGCAGGCCTAAGTATGGCTTAAGATTAGCTTGAGAATGGATTAGTAGTACCCTAAGTACGAATTACCATGAGCTTCAGAATGGATTAATGAGATTGGATGTGATTGACAGCATGTACTGTGCAACTTGTCTGGCCCAACATACCTGTAAGTGAGACAGATTAGTGAGGATTAGTGTGGATTAGCAATTGGATTAGCACTGGCTAGTGCTATGGATTATGTGAGGATTAGATTAAGGTTAATCGTGACTAATCGAAGGATTAGAGCAACTTGTCTGGCCCAACATACCTGTAAGTGAGACAGATTAGTGAGGATTAGCAATTGGATTGGTACGGGCTAATGCTATGGATTATGTGAGGATCAGAATAAGGTTAATCCTCGTCAATGCAAGCATTAGATTAACAGTAGTTCATTAATGTACCCCTTTTAAGCTAAGAAATGTTCATTAATGAACAATCATTAATCCAACTTAAATGACAAAGACGGGCGAACAGGATCTGGCAGAGCTCCTTATGTGCGAGCATGTGGAGCTTCGGCAGCAGGAGTTGCATGCGATCGAGGAGCGGGACGAGATGCGGGAACCGGGCACCGAACCGTTCGCGCAAGTTCTTGCCATAGATACACGCAACGTGTACGTGAATATGAAGTGCTTCAGCTCTTGTAGCCCTTCCAGGGCTCCAGCCAAGGCGAAATCCATGTGACCGTACCTGCTTAACGGTCAGACAGCGATGAGTATGTGTGGGAGCTCGCATACCGTTCGCCCTTCTGTAGATCGACCATCGCACCGGGACGGAAGCACCCATGACGAATACAGATGACCGCCACTACCCCGCTGACCTCCAAGTTTCGAAACTTGCCAGGCCGCTGGGCTCGTCCCACTTTGAATCCACTACAGGTCTCCGGCTGAGTGTAGGAAGTCAGGCAAAAGAGCAATCGAGGACGGATGGATACGGACCGCAGGCTCAGAGTCTATCGCTTCTAGATAGCTCTGCATCTTCGACGGGTGAACGAAGTATCCTTGACCTTCAGAGAGGCTGACATCATCGGGATCGTCGCGCTTGCGCTTTTTCTGCAGGCCGTGATTGCCATCTCCTCCGAGTTCGGAGGCGTGTATGTATCTGGCTCAATCAATTGACCAGGCGGTCCAACCACCCATTGCGTTGGACACTCACGCTAACTCCGATGGGGTGTCTTTCCAGTTGGCGGGCATGTTGAAGCCTGGCCACGGACAGGCAACACACGGCACGGTGATGGACGGAGCTCGATTGGGCAGGACTAAGCCGTGAGGTAGCCCGGCTCTTTTCTCCGCGGTGAGATGCTGCCAGACACGTCCTACGACGTTCATCTCACGGTATCGATTCTGTACGCCAGTTAGAATCGAACTCGGTACGGACGAGAGAACGTACTTTAACCGTTCGCGTGCCCGAATTGTCGGTGAGTCGACGGAGCGCATTGAAGTAGTCGTAAGCACCCTTCTTGGAGGTCAGGAAATGGAGGTCCCATTGACGAAGAACGTCGAAGCTGAACGCGCTCTCTGGACGGTTAAGAGTGGCGGGAAAGAGGCCGGCACGAAGGAGTTGCGAGACTGAAGGTCGTCGGCTTGGACAGTGGCATTCGTGGATGATGACGCGGTGCACGCCGTTGCTGTGCGTGATGGTGTACGTGATGGGGTGGGCTGCTGATAGTGCGTACTTGCACGGGAGGCCGCCATGTCCGAGGTACATCTCGAACCCGAGGTCAGACAAGTCCTTCTTCTCCAGGTAGCGGCCGTTCCATGTCTCAACCCAGTGAAGTGGATTGAGCCGGTGTCCATCGCGCACGCACTCCTCGCACTGGAGAGGACACTGTAGGCAATCGCGGCATCGAGACGTGGCTTTCGATCTTTCACATGCGCATGGCATGTCGAGCCCGGCAGGTACCTCGGAAGCGAGGATGTCCTCGAGGATATCCTTGAACCGAGGTTTCCATTCCTCCAGCACCCGTGAGATCCCATTCTGAGGAGCGCAGTGAGCGCCGCGCGGAAGTGCTGGGGTGAATAGACATACCTTCACCGTGCGCTCCTTCCCCTTCCCCTTTCCCTTCCCCTTCCCCGACTTTGTCTCTCCCGAGTTCTCGTCTCCTTGCGCCGGCGTCGGGCCGGGGGAGCGTGGGATGTCCGAGGGCGCAGGCGCAGTGCTCGCATTAGGGGGACTCTTCAGACGCGGACGCTTAGGAGGCGGGGAGGACACGATGCGGCGGCTGACCGAGGCGGAAAGTCGAGCACGGCCACGAGGGCGAACGGAGATGGTTTCCGTGACCGCTACCACCGGGGCATGGATCCCCTCGATATGAACGTGAGGTCGCTTGGCTCGCCCTTGCGACGCGCTCATCGGAAAGCGTTCGCCCACGGCAAGCGTGCAGTGCTCGCCCAGGGGACGAAGTCTCGTCGCCGGCCACCAGCGCGTCGGGACACGGTTCGCGCTGCGGCTTGTCTGCCACACCGTACCCCGAGGACGCTGTCATGCTGACACCACACGTATAGATTGCTACGCAAATCGCGATATGCTAAGTCTACAGAGAAGACACCTGCGCGATTCAAGCTCGCGCCTCCTCCGCTTCATCGAAACAGGCGATGACCATGCACTGCACACGTTGTCCTGGGGGCCGATGCGCGGAAGCACAGCATCACCGTGCGGTATCTTCGAGACGGCACGGTTAGATGGACCCTGGCGGCGCCGGAACGAGCTGGACTTACTTAATTGGGCGTGATCCGCATCCACTGCGTCGGGGAGCAGGAGCGACGCCCACGCCGAAAGCTCTGATGAGACCGGCATACGCGGTTGATGCGCGTCGCAGGATGCTGCGAAGCGACTGCCGAGCGATGAGCACGGTTCACGCGGACGGATGCACAGGGCACACCAGTGTTCCTCTGCCACTACGGGACAGCATGGGCCCGGCCTTGCTTCGCACATCGGAGGTCGCTGCCAGTGAGCGCGGTAACTTGGCTGTGGCCGTAGCACAGCGCGTCAAAGTATTAAGCCGACGAGTTTGAGCGAGACAAGGGAACATAAATGCATACCTGAGTTGAGGGCGTCGTCGACATGTTGAGTACACCTGCATTTGGATGAGCAGGCGATGCGATTGCAGACTGACAGAAACATGTTGAGCCTGGGGAGCGCCACGTTCGCGACAGGACTCACCAATGTGCGACAATTGACGTCTCCGATCGTGCACTTGCGAGTCTTCCATATGTACAGTGCGTCGTGGTAGCCCAAGTCTTGCTTTCGGTGATTGGCGGTGCACGGACTTCTCAACCGCAGGCAACCCTGCGGGAGCGAGTCGTGTCACGGAGGCAAAGGTAGCCGTCAAGGCTCCTCGCACACCCGTCTCTTCCTGTGGCCGGGCGTGTACTTGCGGCGATGGTTTCGAGGCGAGAGCTTGAGCAGGGTCTAGCGAGGTCGCCGGGCGATCGTTTGAACTTGGGCACGGTGCATCATGGAGTCGCGAGGGCGAGAGGCCCGGGATTAGAGCAACAGCGTCAGAAGTCGGAATAGAACGAAGGTGAGATGGCGGATTAGAGGCATAGGACGAAGGCTTGAGAAGGCGGATTAGACGCGGATTAGAGGCAGCGGATTAAACGTGGATTAGAGGAGGATTAATACGCGCTAGGCAGTGTGATTGGTTCGAACGGCCAAGTCACGTGCAGGTATCCCGCGGTTCGCGTCGGGCCAACCAATCGCGCTCCTTATCCTACCTAATCCTCACATCTTAATCTGGTCTTAATCCCGTTAATCCCTCTAACTTCCAATCCCGCTCTAATCCTCTTCCCTTTCCTCGCCGGCTCGATCATCCTCAAGCCCGCCTCGACTTCGTCAAAACTCGACGCGACAACCTCAAGCCGCCTTCGACATCCACAAGGCCCGACTCGACGACCTCTAGACACCTGGGACTTCCTCCTGAGTGGCGCGACCGAGAGCTCTACGCTCAGAGTTGACCCTCTTCGACCACTGTGATCGTCTTGGTGTGTTAACGCCAAGACGACCAGTTCCTATCGCTCTTTCACGGACCTCGGCAGAGATTGCGTCTGCAACCGCACCCGTACGTTCTCTCGTCGTTTCTCCTGTGGTACGCCAACTAACTCGTCAAAGCGATCCTCGTTCAAGTTCGTCAACACGACGCTCTTGTCAACCCAGTAGAGCCTTGAAGGATCATTACCCTCTGTCGTTGTAAGCTACACTACATACACATCTGCCCTTGTCCCGCTAACCAAAGTGTCGTCTCACGCGCGTATAGTCAGTGACGATGTCTCGAGCGTGGGGCACGTCGTCGGGTGTGCCATCGTGAGTACCAGCTCTCTTGCTAGAAACAGACGGTCACACGACGCACAGGACATCGAGGGCGGGAGTTTCTTCGCGAAGCACGCAGGACGTGCGGTTGTAAGCGAGACTATAGTGTGTCTTTCTTTGGTCGCTGACCGTTCCGATTCCAGCGGCCCAGCAACCAGGGAGCGTCGACCGATGGACGCTCCCCTGCGCCCGACCCATTGGGATCCCTTCACGTCAACGGAGCTGTGTGCGGCTGGCGGGGCGCGGGAAGGCTCGGCCGAGGAGCGACGCCTAGCCGTTTTCGGCCTAGATAGTAGGGAAGGAAATGGCACGACGGATGAGGCGGAGGAGTTGGTTCTGGACGCAACACCGCATCTGTTTGGTGCGCATGAAACGTTCGAGGTTGTGATATGACACTGACAACCATTTAGGTGAAACTAATAGCCCGATCGAGTTTCAGTGGTGCGACGGTCGGATCGCTACTGAGTGGAAGATGGACCGCAGGGCGGTCGTGACGACGCCCAACGCGACGTGGATGCCGGAGTTTCCTGTCGCAACGCCCGGTCGAATCTGCACTCGCGTGGATGGGCGATGGGGGCCTCAGGAGTACTCAGTCTGGCCTCAGCTCTATCATTCTAATGTCGTGCACCACGCCTGTATCCCCGCCAAGGGTACGACGTTCCTGGGGCTTAGCTTCGATTATAACGTTATCTACGATCCAGTCCCGGATAGCGAGTGGGAGCACGATCTGGCATGTGGTGTGCCGGACTTGGGCCGTCTGCAGCCGCAGTTCCTTGCGCTGCTGAAGGCCGACGCGCGCGGCGTGATGGAGAGGTTCCAACGCGTCGGTGGTGGAATGATTGAAGACCAAAAGAAGTTTGGATACCACCTCTGCGCGACGATCAGCCAGGCCCTCGACCGACTCACACTCCTCCCGACTTGGCGCACACATGCTATCGCCATCGCCGCCCACGTCTCCAGACTCTGCCTTGAGCTTCTGGGGCTCATCGTGCTCTTCGAAGTGGTGCAGCCACGCGTGCGTAACCTCTCGCGCCCCGCCAAGGAAGCCCTGCCCTTGCGTGGTGCATTCACGCACAATCCCGCCACCGCGCAGGGCCTCTTCCGCCTTGGGATTCCGGTATGGTTCATCCAGCCGCTCACTAAGCTCGTGCGCGTGCGGGAGGTCTATTCATACCCCGACGCGATCTCCTCGAAGATGAGCGATGAGCTGTCGTACCCGCGGTTGTACAGCGGGGAGGGAGACCTGTCGGGGATAGTGCACCATCCGGGGGACTGGCCCTTCAAGATGCAGCAGGAGGTCCTTCAGACCCTACTGGATGCCGAGTTGCCGTCGATGCCCAGTGAAGGGGACGAACCAGCGTCGGCTTCGTCTGATGCCCGCCCGACGAAGAAGGCGCGACTGGACGCTGATGACGGGCGCAAGAGTGTTCAGGCTATGACCTCCAGCACGCGTCGCTCTTCGCGCCCTGCTCACCGTGGGCATCGCGCTCAGGCAGTGGCTGTGGAGCCACACCCGTCATTGAGGTACAAGCGTCTGATGGACTGCCCGGTCCCGCTGATGTGGGCGGACGCGTTGTCGGCCGTCGGTACCCTGCCTCCTCCGAAATCTTCGTCAACGTACTACTGGCCGCCGCCGTTCGTCTTCGAGGGGCCAGGAGACAAGATCAACCGATACTTCCGGAACTACGTCCGAATCCGACACTTCCTTCGCCAACGTCTGCTCGACCCCACCATCAATGCCGAACCACTGCGCGTAGCTGAATGGCGTGATGCCCTTTGGGGCGAATACAAGGTGCAGGCCGAGGAGCCGTCGAAGAGTGATCCTGCGCCTCGCAATAAGGAGCGACGACAGCTCCACCAAAACATACGGCGGCTGTTCTCCGCGACTGCAGGGCTCCCCTCGTACGACGCAAGTCAGACTGGGGAATGGGGGTCGACTACCGTGATGGCTGAGAACGTCACGCACAGCGGCTTGCGCGCCCAGATACTCTGGGAGATACATGAGGTTAACTGGCGGTGCGAGCTTCGTGAGCTCGATAGTGTACTTACCGGATCGCGTGCCTGGGGTACGTTGCAACGCTGGGAGCGAGAATCGGCGGTGTGTCGCGTGTGGAGTGTAGAAGGTTCCGGGCTGCGGGTGATACCCCTTTGGGAGCAGGACGGAAAATCGTGTGCGTCGTGGGTCTCTCCTCCACATAGCCAGTGGGCTGTTGCCCGCGTGACATTTCGCGAACTGCTGCGCGTCATGGCTCGGTGGCCGGGTCTGCCAGACGAGTTGAAGGTCAGTCCCCCGGAAGCGATCATAGAGTATCAGGCCGAGGACTACAAACGATTACAACAGTCTGTCTTAGCATTCTACGTCCGCTCCTTCGTTAACGTCTTTCACCGCCTTCCTGTCTCCCCCGCTGTGTTCCCCGACAATTGGTTGTAACGATAGACATGAACCCAAGACTCTTTTTCGTCGCTACGCATGATGTTATACTGAACTGCTCTAAATATATCGAACTTGGCGATCTGGATCGCCACGGAACGACGGGATGAACGTCGGTAGGCGAGCATTTTTTTTTCGCAAATATTAATCCCCACCACACCGTCACATCCGTTACGGAGCAAATAAGGCTGCCCCATTCGCGTATAAAAGGTCGAACGGACACCGCAACAAGACGGCACTCATCTGACATCATGGTGCGCAGCGATCCTCGCGTCAAGGAGATCGTCAACGACTACCTCCCCTCGAATGCTCGTCTTCGCCAAAATCTACTGCCATGCGAGACGTACCCCGACGTGCGTCACGTCGCCATCGTTAGCCTAGGAGCGTCAAGCGCGTCGAGCTTGGGCAAAGTCTTCGGGATCGTGAGTCAGCTGTGGTTCTCTCGGGGGTTGAACTGATGTTCTAAAACAGTGTACTCTGCCCCGACACCGTCGATGTGCGAACCACCTCAAGCCCGGCGCGCTGCAGATGACGGAGGCGCAGCTCTACGAGGTCAGAGCCCGCGTTGCAAGTCTCAACCCGCCTGCCAGAATTGGTGGTGTCACTTTCGTTGGCGCCCAACTTCCCCCCGCGTTGATCGCTGCAGCCACCGGGCCAGGGCGCCCTCATCTCCAGACGGAGACGGTGGTCGTTTATGTATACATAAGGGTAAGCCCATTTGTTTCCGCACTCGTCCTTGCTCTAATATCGTCGTAGGACGGGGACGTTCCTGTCTCCCTCCCACTTACGTGTGTGGACCGTGGCATCCAGCTGCAACTCACGTTCCGTCAGCCGATTACGTGCGACATCCTCTCGCTGAAGCCGCGGGAGAACTACGAGTTGTATGACGCCCAGTTGGGAGAGTTTGTCGGCTTCCCGCGAGTGAACGAGCATCGTTACTTCCTTCGCGATGAGGTCCTCGTATACAGGGCTCCAGGCGTCGTGGACTGCCCCGGTTTGGAAGATCTGGTGCTCACGAGTCAGCAGGTTCTTTACGACGGCCCGGCGCCCTTGCCGTCGCTGCTGCAGCACATGCAGGCTCGCGACTCGGGCGACCGCAGCCCATCACCTGATCACAGCTCGCAGGCGCTCCTGGTGTCGACGCCGGGTCGCGTTTTGCGCTCAGGGCGTGTCATTACGTCCGATGCGAGCCCGTCCACGTCGTCCACGTCTTCTCCGGGCTCCAGTCGGCGCCACAGTCTGCCTAGTTCTTCGACCGGAAGCTCATCGGCGGGACACAAGAGGAAGCGCGGCGATCTCCCGGCGTCGCCAAGCAAGCGTGCCGCAAACAAGGGGAAAGCCCGCATGGAGGAGCCGGACGACGCGGACGAATCGGATGACGAGGTGTGGGTGGTTGTTGACGACGATGAGGAGATCGAGATGCTCGTTTCGAATTGATCGAAGTAGGAGATTCGTTGTGATGTGCTGCCGAACACGTATACCCTAACGCTCCGGAAAATCCCCACTCCGTTATCTTGGCCTCGAATTACTGTTTAGACTAATACTACGCGCGTGATCTCGTCCTATGGCGCTATATTACCCTCATCGCGCGCTCTCGTTCACAAGTTGCTGTTCGCTTCGTCCTTTGCTCGCGTGGTAAGTAAATATCTTGATTGTGTGAGTGACCGTTCGAACTCATAACACATCGTTTGTCGCAGACAATTATGGTGCCGGCAAACATCGCCGCAAACGACGGCAGACGGCGCCGTCGGGGATGGACGCGTCAGTTCCGCGCGATCTTGTCGAGGTACCTGCACGAATGGAGGCGAACGTCACCTACCGACCGCCAAGCTCGCGCTGGAATCATCGCCGCCGCTCAGCATGCGATCCAGCAAGACCCCTCTTGGCAACCGAACGTTGTGGACGAAGTGGTGGTACGTTAGCGTCGTCGCACCAGATGGACAGGCGTTCATGTGTTCGCAGGCGATCAAGAACTACTTCAAGAATCATTATGCGTAGTAGTACCGTACTGTGCGCCTGCGAGAATGTAGACACGAGGCTATCTGTCTGCCGTAGGACTTAAATCATATGGTCTCAGAGCCGATCGAGCGGTGTAGCCTTAATGCCATCTCGCGTCCGTCTTCAACGGTGGAGTGGCCGATCAAACGGGTTGTCAGGCACGACGGGAGAGGAATTGGGCGATCAACCGCACTATCATCGAATAGAATGACAGGCCCGGGACAGGCCGGCTCGCATCTTTCGGGGAAGCGGGCAGCCTCGTTATTCAGTTCACTTTATGTCCATGCGAGTTCCCCACACTGTCAAGTTTCAACGTACGTGTCCCTGGCAGAACAGGAGTTGTCACTGACTGTGGATTTTGCAAGCCGAACTGAATGGCGGGCGACCAAGGCGAACTCACGGGCGAGGGATCCGGGGGCCCAGTGGCGGCCGCGGGCCCGAGCATGAAGCCCCTTGAAGAAGCGCGTGCGAAGGCTGGCAAGGGCAAAGTCAAGGGCAAGGGCCGCCCGCGTACTAACTGGCAGTTGTACCAAAGGCCCACGATTCTGGCAGCGGCTCTTGCAGAGTGGCGGAAAACCTCGCGAAAGGACCACGCAGGACACGAAGCAATCCGTAAAGAGACGGTGAAAAAGATCGAGCTGGATACATGGCCAGAGCCACACTCCCTAGAGAAGGTAAGTCTTCATCCCCGGTGTCCAATTGTATTGCGTTCCACTGAGAAGTCGCGCGATCAGGCGGTGTACAACTATTTCAAAAACCACGGCTATCCTAGTGCGAAGACCCCGGAGTTGAGCACGACAATCCCAGACCGACTGACCTTGAAATCCAAGCAGTTGTTCAAGAGGTCTCGGGCGAAAGGAGCCTCGGAACTCTGGGCCAGCGAGAACAAGGACGTCATCAAGGCCAAGACCGAGAAGGGTGGATCGGGAGCTGGTGGATTTCAGGCTCAGAAGCGCACGGAACTCTTCAAAGCACTGCCTGCGGACGTGCAGCAGGGATACCACAACCAGGTGGAGCACAAGACAGAGCCTTCTGCGGAAGAAGAAGAAGCTGCGATGGAACAGTTAGTGGCGTCTCGCAATGGCATCGCGGAATGCTGACCATTTTCGCAGGAACCGCAAGTACTTGTCGCGCAGGCTGACCAAACTTCTGCAGAGCACCAGTGGCAGAGGCCTGACACGCGTAGGCGACGTCATGTACTACGTCCAAATCGCGCTGAGGCATGGCAGCAAACTGGCACTCGCACAGTGAGTGATCTATGTCATACTGTGCATGTTTTGTTGACGTGACTATGTACATAGCTTGTATGTTGGCGACACTCTCGTCACCAAGGAGGGCGAGCAGGGGTTCATCGACTACGCCGATCTGCAGAAGGAGCATGAACAGTGGGCCGATTTTGCGCACAAGGTCCTTCGTAAGTACTCACAGTTTCTTCGATCGGCGCCGACATCGTTCGACATGCTCTACAGCGCGTCATCTCGTCGGCGAAGGGGACGGGATTACTTACCGAGAAGGCCAGCCCTTGCTCCCGCCTGCCGACGAGGATTGGTCCGTCGCGAAGACGAAGGAAGTCCTCAACCTGTACTTCCAAGCCTGCTGGGGTGAGTAGAATAAGTGTACTGCTGGAGCCACGCTGAAGTGCTGCTCTGCAGATTATGCTCACCGAGACGTTGACGACGCATCGTCATTGGTGTCCCCGGAGGCGATCAACGCAGAGCTGGGGGCGCGAAACTGGCCAACTCCTGAGACGAAAGCTGGCCTGTTCACGCTGTGGGAGAACATCCGGAGTGCAGAGGGCGAGGATAACGCCTTCTGCTTCGAGTACGTTGAGCCACGAAGCAGCCGTGCGGCGACACCTGACATGAACGGGCTCAACAACCTATTCGGATCGGACAGTGATGACGAGGATGATAGTGACGAGGAGGATGGTGACAAGGAGGATGGTGACGAGGAGGATGGTGACGAGGAGGATGGTGACGAGGAGGTTACGAGTGTGATCAGTGGTGAGGGTGACGGTACTGACGCGACAGGCGAAGGCGAGAGCGGTGTTGAGAACACTGGCGAGGTGGGGGGTGAACACCAGGACGACGACCCCGACCACGACGACCGCGATGACGGCCACGACCACGACCACGACAGCCACGACGGACGGTCGTCTTCGCTACGCCCTAGCGAGAGTGCTAGTCGTATCGAGGGCGAGCTCGACGAGGAGCCGGATGCCCAGATCGCCGTGAATTCGGGCGCTCGTCAGACTAAGGTGTTGAGTGACAAATCTGCGAAGGAGACCGAGAAATCACGTCAACAACCAGGTAAATCCGCCTTATGTGAGCATGTCAAAGAGATGCTAAACATTTCGCAGCCGTGAAGATTGCCAAGGTGCGAACCACCAGACGCAAGCGGGTGGATAGCGAGGCGGAGCCTGAAGACGGTAGCGAAGACGAACACCAGGCGAAGAAACACAAGGCAGGGAAATCGGACAAGCAAGGCGGAGGGGTGGTCAAGAAGAAGTGAGTATCATACTTTCCCTGTAGCATCAGCTAAGTGACGACCTGCAGGGGTAGTGGTGCATCCAAGGGAAAGAAGTCGGATGAAGTGGTGCCCTCTAGTCGCATGACAACTCGGTCGACTACCAACACTGTGAAGTCAGTCTTCCATTGTCCCCGTGTAGTGAGTTTATCTGACGTGCATCAAAGAGCAAGAATGCGCACTCGGGGTGGCCGCTAACGGCGTCGAGATCGCGCCCAACGCGGCTCAAAGGCAATGGACTGATACATTACTTGACGAGCCGGTAGCTTTTCCTCACCGTTGAGAGGTTTTTGACGCACCCGTGCTGTAATTCTCGGGTCTCACGCCTTTTCTTTACTTGATTACGAGGCTGCGGGATAGTACCATATTGTATCTTTCGCTCACTGGGACTTCGTGCACGCTCTATGCACCTTATTCAATGTGTTCTTGACGGTTCGCTTCGTGGATGGCACCGCAATGCACGTCAAATCAATTGGCATGAGCTGACGGCCATATACGATAGCTCGCAGTCTTCAGCGAGGCACACTCGACATCTCTCGAAGCCAATGCCGCCGAGCATCGAGTGGGGCGCTCGTAGCGCCCATCGCTCACTTCTCGTCCGCGACTACCTGTTTGACTACGACCGACATCGACACTACGCCCATCTACGCTACAACCACAGCCGTTTGTCCGTGCGTTCGCGGGCAACCGCAGCATGCACCGATCGTCGTGCCAACAAAATGGCATTGTCCGCTGCCAGTGCCAGCACCCGCCCATCGCACTCTCGACTGCCATCATCGAATACTGCGACCTCCCGACCTCTTCAAGCCCAAGGTTCTCGCGTCATCCAAAGGACGCGTGAACGTGCACGCAAATGAGCACACGATTATCGCGGCGTCGCTCAGGCGGCATGCAACCCGGACTCGACCCACACGACGCGCATGGAGGAGGGAGAAAGAACATCTACATGGAGGTCCCTAGCGAGGGCTCAAAGGCGAAGGTAAGTTTTCACTACAGGCGGCTACTCTGTCGCCGACGCGTCTGCTCGTTAACCCATGTCACAGTCTCCTCGTCGACTTGTCCTTCCGTTCCCGATGGCATCCCTGACGCAGTCATCAGGTACGCTACACATTCAACCGGTTGGCCGACTCGCTAACATATCCTTTCGGCCACTTCCGCCTTTTACGGATTTCCGAAGAACTTGGCGATGGTAGCCCCTGATCTATGGCGTGCCGCAAGTTCCATTTGCGGAGATGGGTAAGTCTGCCGCACGTATATGTACGCGTTTCACTCACTTCCCGCCACTCAACCTGCAGGTCGACGTGGCGCAGAAGGTGCGCAAACACGTCACCGGGTGCTCTGTCAACAGCCGTGCCCGAGCACAAGAAGGGTCGGGGCCGCAGGGAGCAGGGGAGGACGCGGTCAAAGGAGCAGCATGGTAGGCGAGTCAATTCCCTTTCGTCGGCTCTACGCAAGGCTGACCCTTGCCAGCGAGAGCTTGCCGACGATGGCCCCAACGACCCGAGAGCGACGAGGGGCATCAGCCCGCTAACCACGCGTTCGGCGAGCACTATTAGCGGACTGCCTATTGGTCGACGACGACACCGGCCAGCAAGAGCACACGGAACACGAACCCGCCGAGCAAATGCACGCTCAGCTCGACTCACGGTGGTACATACGGGGCCTGGGCGAGTGGCAGCGCGCTGAGCGAGAAAAGCAGGCTGGAGCGCGCCGAGCACCAGCCGAGGGAGCATGAGATTGGCGAGGAGCTCGTCTGGAACGAGAACAGGTGTGTCAACCTGGCACGAGTTCGTTGTCCTGCGGCGGTATAGACGCTAACAACCGTCCTCGCAGACCGTCCTGACCCAGCTGGCGCTGTCCGTGCTCATCCCCGCCGCGTGCCTGAAGCCGCGCCTCAGATCCGTGACAAGCTGCGCATCTGCCTCCCGGGCGTGCACAAGCCCATGACCATCCAACGCGCAGCTGATCCACCGTGCAGATGGGCCCCTGCCAGTGGGCACACAGTCGACGAGGGCCCTGGGCGATGGTCGTCTCCGTTCGAGATGGTTGAGTGGCGAGCTTGATGGTATATTCCTTCATTTTCTATTCTTCGTCATCACATATGCTCATCGTAGGGCAAGATTCGCTATGGGGTCGGCATAGTCACTAAGTACGGCCCATCGTCCACTCGCGCCAAAAATCACGGGATTGCCCTTTTTGGAAGGACGAACCCTGTTGGGTCGGTACTCGTCAATCACCCGCCCTCTCCCACTACCTCCCCCCTTCCTTCTCCACCTCCTGTTACTCCCTCGGTGCCCCTCAACATCGGAGACACACAATCCTCCAAACTCGACACGTCGACGGCACACAAACACAACCACATCAGCGTGTTCGCGACACGTCTCAAACCAGCGCGACAGACGGACATGCCGGGCTCTAGTGGCGCCTCAAATCGCCGCTGGAGCCATGAGTGTGGTGGAGAGGCGTGGATAAGGTGGAGGAATGGGCACGAACAATGACCAGCAGAGCTGCGAGAGCCGGTGAGTTTGCACACGCCTTGTCGCCGCCGCCGTTGACCACCACTGCCCGTTAAGACGACGCCCGACCCATCTCCTACCGCGCGCTGACTGTCGTGCGTCAGCGCATCGGGCACGAGCCCTGCGAATGCGGGGCCACGGAAAGCATAAAGCGCGGCCGGCGATAGCCCTACGAGATCAGCCCCAGCGAGCACGACCATGCTAAGGACCAGGATGCGCAGTGGTCGCCTCCTGAGGCGCTGCCTGACAATCAGGAGCCCCCGCGGCAAGAGTCGGCCCAGGAATACTTCACCAAGCAGGAGCCACTCGTGGGGGCCTCCGGCGAGCGTAAGCACACTAACAACGAGCCCGCAAAGCAAGACCCTACCGGACACAATCACTTTGAGCGCGACGCAGGTGAGTCAGAACCCACCGCAAATGATCCACACGAAGCTCAGTGTGACCAGAACCAGCACGATGCAGAGCAGCACGATGCGGATGTACGCGACGGGGACGTGCGTGGTGATACCGTGCGTGGCCAGGATGGCGATGGCAAGCAGGAGCTTGCCAAGGGCCACCCCGCGAAAGCCGACGGCAAACATGACCAGGAGAATGTCCAGGACATGGACGATCGGCTCGTACGTGCCTAGGGCATGCTGGAGACAGCCGTCGACACCGAGGATGGGGCCGGCAAGCCGGGGCTGTCAATGGTGCGGGCGAGCGCAAGCACGACGAGCACTAACCCGACGAGGACTGACCGACAGGCATGAGCTGACTGAGTAAGAGGCTGACCGAATCCGAGTGAGCCTAAGCTGGGCGGATTGTGGTAGCATAAGCACGGACGAACAGTATAGATCAGGAGTAGCATTAGGATGGATTTAGAGTAGCCTAAGTACAGATCAAGAGTAGTGTAAGTACAGGTAAGTAGCAGTATAGGTACGGCTCAGTAGTAGCATAAGTATGGATAAGTAGTATCGTAAGTACAGATTAGTAGTAGCTTAAGTACGGACTAGAAGGAGTTTAAGTACGGATTAGTAGTAGCCTAATAACAGATTAGGAGTAGCTTAAGTACAGAGTACGGTACTGTATGTACAGATGTATAGTAGTGTAAGTGCGGATTAGTAACAGTGTAAGTATGAATTAGTAGTAGCCCAAGTAGGGATCAGTAATGTTAGTAAGTACGGATTAGGAGGAGCTTAAGTAGGATTAGTAGTAGCCTAAGTACAGATTAGGAGTAGCTTAAGTACAGATTAGGAGTAGCTTAAGTAGAGAGTAGTAGTACTGTATGTACAGATGTGTAGGAGTGTAAGTGTGGATTAGTACGGATTAGTAAGAGTTTACATACAGATTAGTAGTAGCCTAAGTGCAGATTAGTAGTAGCTTAAGTACAGAGGAGTAGTAGTGTAAGGATGGATTAGCAGGCCTAAGTATGGCTTAAGATTAGCTTGAGAATGGATTAGTAGTACCCTAAGTACGAATTACCATGAGCTTCAGAATGGATTAATGAGATTGGATGTGATTGACAGCATGTAATGTGCAACTTGTCTGGCCCAACATACCTGTAAGTGAGACAGATTAGTGAGGATTAGTGTGGATTAGCAATTGGATTAGCACTGGCTAGTGCTATGGATTATGTGAGGATTAGATTAAGGTTAATCGTGACTAATCGAAGGATTAGAGCAACTTGTCTGGCCCAACATACCTGTAAGTGAGACAGATTAGTGAGGATTAGCAATTGGATTGGTACGGGCTAATGCTATGGATTATGTGAGGATCAGAATAAGGTTAATCCTCGTCAATGCAAGCATTAGATTAACAGTAGTTCATTAATGTACCCCTTTTAAGCTAAGAAATGTTCACTAATGAACAATCATTAATCCCACTTAAATGACATCACTGGTTCGCCCTCTGTTACACGTGGGGTGCAGGGCTCACACACGGCGAGAGCGTCGAACACCCATGGGCCGAACACAACCAAGTTGGTCTCAGTACGCGCGAGATGAGCGTCGGTCATCGCCATGACGCTCTCAACGCCGTTCACAACCACTGGAATTGGTGCAAAGTGGAGGGTACGGGTGCGTGCTATTCCTCAAGTACATATATCTTTCGTTGCTCACAAAGGATGTCTAGCGTCGTTTCTCGCTAGAAAACTTAAAGAAGCGTTTACACTGCAAGACCAGAAGAAGAATCTATACGAAGCCCTCACCGAAGTCGCGGGGGACATCGTCAAAGACTGGAAGGCCATGCAAGCCGACATCCCAGGGCCTGGCGGTTCGGCGACAGGCAGCACAACGATGCAGATGCGGAGGCAGTCGAAGAGAAAGGGCCAGGGCAAAGCTAAGGCTAAGGTCAAGGGCAAGGTGTCGGCGACGGCTGCCGACGCTGCACAGAACGTGTACATCCTTGATGAAAGCAAGGGTAGGACCTGTTTCTTCGTCTCAGTCCGTTGATATACTCACCTGTTGCATTAGTTCCGAGCGCCGGGAAGGCCTACGAAGAACTCGTCAAGCTCGAGATCAACCCTAAGGCAGACTTCACAACAGCTGCCGCCGATCAAGTCCCGTCGGGAACGGTGAATTTCTTCAGGAAAGGGCTTGACCTCGAGAGACGACAGTGAGTACTTACACCGCTCATTGACCTGCACTAACGCCATCTAGATATGAAGTGCGAGCCAAGCTCAAGAAAGTCCGCGGCGGTGGCAGTGCCGACCCTTTCGAGATTGATGAGACGGACCCGGGGATCGGCTCGGAGCGGCGCACTCTTCGTCGCGAACTCGAGAAGTGGCGCGACCTGCAAGCCTCTGTAATGCCTCACATCGACTTCCCCGACGTCGAGGCGGACGAAGCCGGGAAGGATGATGAAGACTGCGGGTCGCCCGAAGATGAACCCTTGGTTGTTCCTTCGGACTTCTCCACCTCGGAGCGCAAAGACCTCGGCCTCGAAGCGTTAGCTGTTTTCGAACGTCGCATCCGCCTAGGCCACGCCTATGATCTGCTGAACGCAGTGAAGATGTTGGTGAACCACCAGGGTGCGTTTCTCTCCGACAAGCGCAAGCACGCGCGTGGTCAGAAGGACAATACTCGGTCGCAAAAGCAGGTGTCCGCCGCCGCCGCACGGACGCGAGTGCTGGCTGGCTTGTACAATTACAACCGCGACCGTCTGCTCGCCTTGTCCGACACCGCTACCTCCGACATCCTCAAACCAATCAATATGGAGCAAGACCTCAAAAGCAAGAACTGGAGAAAGCCCCGCGAACAGGGCGATAGTCGCGAGGAGCAATCGTGGATATGGACTGCCATCCCACCTTGGACGAGCAAGACTGACGCAGATGCTTGGCAACTAGAAGGTCAGTCGTCGGTGTAAGTTGGTTTTCGCGACGCTAACTATTGTTGAAGTCGATCGAGTCCAGTGGTTCCGAGCTCGGGCGGACCTGGCACGAATCAACGAAGAGATTAACAAGCTGCATGCCGAGTTCAAGCGCACGATACTCGGCTTCAAAAACCTGTCCCTGGCATGGGAGTCCGCCGCTCTGAAGACTCAGCTCTCGGACGGTTCACGCGCGTATGCAAGGAAGAAAGCTGACATGTTCCAAAAGCTCAGTGATCAATGCTCAGAGACGTTCGCGAAGGCGCGTAGGGATCCCGAGGAGAAGTGGGATTACTCCGATGTAAGTCGTACTGTCGGGGCTGCTATGGTACTGACGCTCTGCACTAGACTACGAAAGTGGGGGATTCGGAGACCCCTGAGGTCGCTGGACACGCGGAGGGGGAGAAGCAGGACGAGCAGAGGCGAGGGGTCGAGGGATCTGGGCGACGAGCATGAAGGAACTCTTTGCATGTCTGAGGAAGGTAGCACCCAGGTGTGTTCTATCTCGCGCCCGGCTGGGCCTTACTGCGCATGCTGACGTTGTCTGCGGAAGCATGCCAGGCAAGAGGCCTGCGCTACCTCCCTGGCAACGCTTGTGGTCCCCTGCTGGCTGCCAACGTTTCGTCTCCTGACGCCCATGTGGGGATGGATGCTTCAGGCTTTGCCGGGTGACCCCATCCTCCTTGTGTCGTAGGAGAATGCGCGCTGGTCTCCTGCGGCGTCCGCCTGCTATTTGTTGCCGAGCCCGCGTCGGCGTGCACGAGCACGCCTCTGGATGTCCTGCGGCAAGCTGCGTTGATGTTCGCGTTGGGGATCGGCCCGGGTGATCGCATCCGCAGTTTGCTAAAGGAAGCCCGCCGCGCCGCTCTCTAGCTCGTGCACGGAGCCTCACTCCAACTGTCGTTGGGCTTCTCCACCCTCACCGCCGGGTGTGCCGGCGTGCCTCAAAGCTCCCAACCATGCGCCAACTGTGCGCACCCGGCTTGCCTGACCCTTTTCGTACTTTGTACTGTGATGCATATTACGCTCCCCGCCTCTGCCTGCCCTCCGCAAGTTCGTCTCGCCGGCACCTGCTGGCACCGCCCTGGCGCGCTGGCGGCCCTCCCATGTGGCCTCCTTCCTTCTGGGCGACGAGAATAGTCATGTTGTATGCTAGGATTAGAATTGTTTTGGGGTTTGGATAAGAGAGTACGCATGCTACAGCTAATTCTATAGTACTGTACCTCTGCTCGAGAAAGCGCGCATGGAGGAGGTCGTCGGGCCTTTGTGCGAGTGTCAAGCTCGTGCAGCAAGCTGCACCCTTCGCGGGCTGACCTCGGCCCCAAACCTCCGTCTAGCTCGCCCTCGACATTCCTTGACGTGGTCTACGACTGGCACGGACTGTTTGGATCATGTCCAAAGGCACCTGGTCGAATCCATCACACGCCAGCACCCACTCATCCACAGCCCCTTCATCGCCCTCAAGTCACTTCGTCACCTGCCACCGGCAGCGGCCCGTCACCTTCGCCTGGCGTACGTCCCCTACTGCGCCGGCCACACGTCACCCCGCAAACGTTGTCGCCCATCGTTTCATCCACGCGCCTCACTCCGCCCATCGTTGCCGATTGCTGGCCGTTGTCCCCGCCACCCTGCCCTTCGCCACCGCGGCTCACGCATCACCCTCACGCCTGCCCGTCGTCCACGTCACATATCGTCTGCCCTGCCCACTATCAGCCATGGCTGACTTTGCTCACCGTGGCACGCAGCCCTTCGATCCGAATACCGCGGAGTTACCGCTCTCGGACGGTTTAACCCTTTTGGGCACACCGATGCGCGTGCTTGACTCGCGCTCTCTCACCGCCTGCCACCCTTGCCCACCTCCCGCCGTTCAGTCTGTCGCCCTCCCGACCTCAGATCACCGCCCTCGCCCACGGATACATCATGCCCAACCTGCCCTCAAGAATCTGCCATTGCGCAGGCCGCAGGCGCCACGCAAACGCGCCGGCGCGGACACGTTCGCAACTCTCAAACCAGCGCGACGAGCGGTCGCTACGGGCTCTAGCGACGCGTCAAAATCGTGGCTGCGGCCGTGAATGGGGTGGGGAGTTGAGGATCAGGTGGAAGAGGAAGGAACGAGGGTGCATGTGCCCAGCGGGGCTGCCAGAGCAGGTGAGTCGCCCCCGCCGCCCCCTTCGCTACTACCCATAAAAACCGCTTTAGTATGCATCTCCGGCAGCGTGCTGCGTGGTCGACGCCTGCAGACCCCGGCGAGGTCTGCCGAGGCCGCCGCGTCGTGAGATGCTAGCGAAGCCACCACGCGGTCGTCAACAGAGGCCCAAGACCCGAGGTCCCACCATCCTCATGCAGGGCTCGGGGAATGTCACCATGCGTCGCCCCAGGGGTGCTTGCTGCCGTGAAAGTACACATCGGGCACGAGGACCACGAATGAGCGATGTTCCGCGAACAAGCACCCGACTAAGGACCCGACCAACAGTAGCCCGTTGAGCACGGCCCCAGAGAGCGCGGATGACTGCGAGCCCGGCTAGCAAGAGTCAGCCCCAGTGCGACCCCACCGGACATGACACGGATGAGCGCGACGCAGGTGAGTACGAACCCGCTCGCGGAGGAGCGACACGAGGCTCAGTGTCAACAGGACTCGCACGACGCTGACGTGCGCGGCGCACACGAGCTCGACGATACAGTGCGCGGCCACGGGATGACGATGGGAAGCAGGAGGTTATAAAGGAGCATCCCGGTGAGGGCCAGCGGACCCATGACGAGACCTGATCGGGAGAACGCCCAGGGCGCGTGCGATCAGTATATGTGCAGCCAAGACAGACCTGCTGAGCAGGAGATCGCCGCGGTTGAGCCCGGCAAATCCAAGCACGAGAGGGACGGCCGTCAACGAGCAGTTGCACGCCGTGGACGAGTCCTGAAGCAGGTGCCCGCGAAGTGAGCAGAATCGGAATTGACGCAACGAGGATGACCACAAATATGACCAGGATGTGCTGACCAAGACAAACACGAGCGGGATGAGTGAGTGTGGGCACCATGAGCACGAGCAGATCGAATGTGACGGGCATGGGTGTACCGTGATACGGATGAGTAGTAGTATGGATTAGTAGTAGCCTAAGTACGGATTAGTAATAGCTTAAGTACGGGTTAGTAGTGGCCTAAGTATAGATTAGTAGTAGCCTAAGTACAGAGTAGTAGTACTGTATGTACCAGCCTAAGTACGGATTAGTATGGCTTAGTAGTAGCTTAAGTACGGGTTGGTAGTGGGCTAAGTACAGAGGAGAAGTACAGAGGATTAGTAGGAGCCTAAGTACAGATTAGGAGTAGCTTAAGTACAGATTAGGAGTAGCTTAAGTAGAGAGTAGTAGTACTGTATGTACAGATGTGTAGGAGTGTAAGTGTGGATTAGTACGGATTAGTAAGAGTTTACATACAGATTAGTAGTAGCCTAAGTGCAGATTAGTAGTAGCTTAAGTACAGAGGAGTAGTAGTGTAAGGATGGATTAGCAGGCCTAAGTATGGCTTAAGATTAGCTTGAGAATGGATTAGTAGTACCCTAAGTACGAATTACCATGAGCTTCAGAATGGATTAATGAGATTGGATGTGATTGACAGCATGTACTGTGCAACTTGTCTGGCCCAACATACCTGTAAGTGAGACAGATTAGTGAGGATTAGTGTGGATTAGCAATTGGATTAGCACTGGCTAGTGCTATGGATTATGTGAGGATTAGATTAAGGTTAATCGTGACTAATCGAAGGATTAGAGCAACTTGTCTGGCCCAACATACCTGTAAGTGAGACAGATTAGTGAGGATTAGCAATTGGATTGGTACGGGCTAATGCTATGGATTATGTGAGGATCAGAATAAGGTTAATCCTCGTCAATGCAAGCATTAGATTAACAGTAGTTCATTAATGTACCCCTTTTAAGCTAAGAAATGTTCATTAATGAACAATCATTAATCCAACTTAAATGACAAAGACGCCATTGTCGGTGCGAGTCTGAGTCGTACGGGCCCATGTCCGCCGCGTCTTTACACGCGTCAAGGGAGACATCGTAAGATTGGCCGCGTTCCGTCTTGCAGTAAGTCAGATGGCCTCCCGTCGGAAGCGCGACGGAGGTTCGAACTTTCATCGGCATCGTCCCCCAAGCGGATATCGCCGCTCTAGAGTCGTCCTGCATCGCGAAGTTGAAGGAAGCACCGTTGACTCGACCCTCGACTCGGACTGTACAGCTCACGGCGTCAACCTGCTTCGCCGTAAGTGGGACGCCATCCCGACGTGAAGGCGGCATGGTGAACCGCGTGCCCTTGGTGACGCCATTGATAGCACCTGCATCCACGCGGAAGGTCTCGTCATCGATGCGCTTGATAGCATACGAGTACACCTCTCCCTCCAACAGGCTCCGACTGAGCAGCAGTCGATCCCTATGCTTGCCGTCGCACGTGGGATGTTGCCAGGTCAGGGGCAGTGGCCCTCCGCACAGCTCCGTCGCCTCAGCGCTCACCAGAGCATCTATGAGACGTGCGTACGTGAGCTGGCGCAGGGGCTGCTTCTGGGCATATGCCTTCCGCAAGAACGCGAGGAGGCTGTGCGTGAACGTTCCGCGTGTGCGGGGCTCGCAGTTGCTGCGCCCGTCGACGACAACTCGGACCGTGACGTTCGCCTCGCGCGCATACCCATCTTCTTTGCACGCCGCCAACAGGACGTGCGAGTTCCGCGCCGCACCAAAGAAGCCCTCGGAAGTGACCGGTTTCACGCCGTGAGCGTCGTCTACAGGCCAAGTCCATATAGTGTGATCGAGTGTCGCCTGTATGGGGAGGCGTTTAACTTCGGGATTGAGCGCGCGTATCCTACCAGCACAAGGGATCTGCGCTTCACGCGCGAGGCCTCTAGAGTGACAACTGTCAATGATCGTGACCTGGAGATACGAAATCGATGTCAGTGTCTAGTAAGTACTGAGATAGGGATACCAGATAAGGTGCTTACTATGTTGTCTCCTTTCTCGTGCGCCAAACGCCGCATGAGCCCATCGAACGTCCGGCCCGGGATGCCATTGACTCCCCCGTTTCTGTTCGTTGTGTGAACATCATACGGGCAGATCGTCTCGATCGTGTCGCCCTGCGAAGCCGCCCAACCGTCAGGCGCCCTTTCGCGATCCCCGTGGCCGGCGTAGAAGAACACCAGGGCATCTCCGCGGCTGATGTCAGGGTTGGAGATGAGATGTTCTTCAAAGCGACGAAGAATCTCGCTACGCGTAGCTTTCTCGTTGCTGAGTCTGGCGATCTGTTTGGAGGGGACCTGCAGAGTCTCCGTGAGGAAGTCGACAAAGTCGTCACCGTCATTGACGCAGCCTTCCAGCGAAGTGATCTTCGGGTCCTTGTACTTGTCGATGGCGATGACAAGTGCAAAGATGCTTTTCCGCACAGTGGGTCTACGTATCAGATGGTCAGCATTGTCATGTCAGGGTGGATAAGCATTGGCCGCACTTAGGTGGTGGCGGTGCCAAAGGAGACCGAGGACGCGGCCGTGGAATAGGAGGCTCGGGATCATAGTAGATGATGACCGTCACCACATCATGAAGTTCCTCCAGTAGCTTCGAGCGGTCCTCTGTCCAGTGCCAATATACCTGTGATCGACGGGCCGAGACTTTGATGGCGACCAAGACGAGAGTAGTGTCACTGTTCGCGTTCGTGGTAGGCAGCAAGCATCTGAACCGTGTTGCGCCTTCCACTACTGCATGTATGCGGCCCACTGGCACATACAGCGCACCGTCCTCGTATGTGACTCGGATTGAGTACTTGGAGAGTGACTTGCCCACTGCATAGGTCGTGAACAACAAGCGATTCTTGTGTTCGCCTTCGCAAAAGGGGTGCTGGTGGTGAAGCATCAGATCTGGCTTCATCGTAGGCAGGCGATCCATCAGACACGCGTAGGTTGTACGCGAGTATTCCTGGAGGCTCGCCTCGCTCCGGAAGGCGTCCACAAGGTTACGAGTGAAAAGCCCACGGACGGTGACGGCGGTACCCGCTGCAGGGTGGGCCGCCTTGGCGGTCTCCTCAGGCTGACACGCAGCTAGAAGCAGGTGGGACGTTATAGCCGGACACCCGAAGCCATCGAAGGTCGTTGGGACGTCGGGGGTTACAGTGACCACTTCCTTGTCAGGCCACGCAGGCAACGGAAGCCGCGTCAGGGTGCTAGGCAGGGATCGTGACATCTTGCATTCACCCTCATCTGCAGTCCCTCCTCGTGGAAAGCTGCAATCGAAAATCGCAACCTGTTGAAGATATTAGAGCTTGAATATGATGCCGGCCGCACTGAGAGAAATAGTACACACAAGATTATTCCCCTTCTTCTCTGCCAACTGGTCCATCAAAGCGTTGAATGTCCGATCCGGAATGCCATAGATCGGGCGGCACTTCGGGCTGACAAGTCCTTCGAAAGCCGACTGGTCATAGGGACAGATGGTCTCGACTTTCTTTCTTTCCGGCCAGTCCGCTGGAGCGTCTATGCGGTCGCCATAACCTGCGTAAAAGACGAAGACGAGGTCGTCCCGTCCAATCCGCTCATTATTGATGAGATATCCATCAAACGCGGACAGGATATTGTCCCGCGTAGCGGACTCGTTGACCAACCTGAGGATGTTGCTAGATGGAACGTGCAGCGAATCTTTCAGGAACCTCTGGAAGTACTCGCCATCGTTAACACAGCCGTGCAAGTTCGGTATGGCGTCGTGCTGGTACTTGTCGATGGCGATGATGAGCGCAAAGACGGTAGGACTGATTCCTTGGGTCTGGAGAGACTATGAAAATGTACAGACTACAATGAGTTCGAGTTCTCGCGTAGCAAGGAAGTCACGTACCGGGGACACCATGCGTGCTGAATGGGCGAACAGCTGAGGGTTACGGCCAGCATTACTCCCTTATATCTGCCAGTGGAATAGAGCTCGGGCCCTGTCACGTGTGGGAGGTCCAGAAGTCAAATGGGCGGTGAGGATGCATGGCCTCCGCCGCTCGACCACACGAGAGAGGACCCTGCCATTGAGAACGTACTGTAGAATTTAATTCAATCCGGCGGTCACACGTCACAAGGCCCCTCGCCGCACCGGAAAACGGCCCTTGTCACAGGTCACTGAGGGCCCCGCCGGTCGTGACAAATGCATATATTTTTCGCCGCCTCCGGCGGCGGTCTCCAGCACGCATTTTGGTGATGTTTTGAGCGCATTGACGCGCCGCCGCACCGTCTGCGCGCATGTGTCACACGTCACCATCGCCCGCGCCGCGCCGTCTTCAGGCGGCGCGGCCGTCACACGTCACAACCCGCGCCGGATTGAATTAAATTCTACAGTAACGGAGGGTGGTACAAAATGTGATTTTCGGATACACCTTCCGCTAACGCGCACGATTCATTGGTACTCATCAAAGCGTTCGCTGGCTGTGACGTTGGCATTGGAATGGTAGCACCGCTTACCGTTCAGTCGGAAAATTCGGTGGTCCTGTGCGGCATGTTTGGAGACACACGGTTGATACCGAGAAGCACGAAACCCCAGGCTGCGACAATATTATTATTCGGATGACGTTGCAATGAATTGGGATAAACGCACCACTGATTAAGACTGCTCTTCATGATACGTCACAAGATCTGCATGTCGACCCTCGTTTTCATCGTGGCCAATTGGGACGACTGCAAAGAAATCAGTAGTAAAGACGTTCACGAATAAACGGCATGGGAGACACTCCAACCAGCAGCATATGTAGGAAACTTTTTGACGAAGCTACACGGTGTTAGTCAGCAGTACGGGTGAGATCCGCGGGCTGCGGAGAGCATGAAAAGTCAGTGACTCAATAGAGTTCAAACGAATGATTGAGGCTACATGCGTTACTCGTCGCCTCGTGCACGATGTGTTCCTGCTGCATGCCAAGTTGAGACACTCGAAGACAGCGGGTCACCGGAGTGTCTGTCCACTTCGGTTCTTCCAGTCTCAAGCACTGGCGCTGCGCCAAATAATATGAGTAAAAATCTGCATGTACAGAGCACGTACATACGTCTGTCTTCAGTAGGATTTAGTCCAAAGGATAGTGTGAGGCGTAAAGCGTGTCACTCCAGCATTATAGTAACGAACACTGTTCCATCACAGATTTCAGTCACATGCCGATTCGCAGGTCGCAAGTAACTTACCTCGAATCCCCGACTGGGAATGATTCCGACCTGTCACGGGTTTCTGACAGGACAAGACCGCCATCAGAATGCGCGTTCTGTGGGCGAGACAAGCACCCTCCCGTTGCCTCATCGAACCTCAAGGGCCTCAGGCCCCAGGTTGAACGTTTGAACGTTGACGGTTCTGACACCATCTTATGGTGGTCTGACGCTCAAATTCGCAGATGCAATCACGGTCAGAACTGAAAGTTCAACAAAGGTGCCCAAAAGGTGCCCCACGTACATAGACCCTGCAATACCTGCGTCCGCTGACAGATATAGCAGCATTCCACGACACTGATAGACTTGATTGATCCGAATTCGTGTGGGGCAGAATAGAAGAATGATTTACATACTGCGTTTGAAGACGAGCATCAGTGCTCCGCGGCGAATACTCTGAATGTGTGCTAGCGCTCACTTACCACTATTCCCCCATGTCTAGGTCTGGTCTGCCGGAACAATCCTGAATTGCGTTTTTACAAATACAGGCACACGCCCAAATGGGTCCAGTGGTCAAAATTGAAAGTGGAACCGATGATTCTGGCGCCGCCGACATCTGACCAATTCAACGGCGGTGTTCTTTGCTCGCAACAGCTCTCTGTCGTCCAGCGTGAATCACATCAACCCGAAATTGACGAGTGTGCATGTCAGTCAGCGGTGAAGCTGGCAATGCATGGGACAAACTGCGACTCACGGAAGGATAGTTACGCCCAGAATATTGCCATGTACACGAGCGCATTGGGAAGCACGGCATACTGGCAGTAGGAGAAGGTCAGGCTGCTGGTCTGCCGGGCCCGATATCGTCTGAGTTAGTTCATTCAGCATTGTCGATTGCTGGTCGATTGCAACATGTATTGTAAATCGGGACTACCAGACGATGGACCACGAGCCCAAGAATCGCCGACATGAAGATATCGGAGGCGGAAAGCGTGACCAGTGTTGCATACGTGCTCAGCTGCGGATCTCTGCGCGTAAGTTGCACTTCGATGGGCGGTGAAGGCTGAGTTACTGAGTCTGGATTAGAATATGGGAAGACGATTCTTAAGAACGGAGGGCATCGGAGCATAACGACGGTGGGAGTGGACATGCAGCCTAACCATCGTAACTGGGGTGCAGTGGCAGTTAGCGTTCGGCGTCACACGCAACGCTGGGCGAACACACGACTCACAAACACCTCGCCACGACAACTTCAGGCGCCTCCTGCGCTGCCAGCAACCCCACGTCCAGCCCTTCGGCCTGTGGAAGCGCCACGCCCGCTACCACGCTCAGCTCAGCGCACTTTGGTACAGCACGGACGAGGATGCCGCCCTCCCTCGCGCCCGCGAGGGACAGGAGATCCTCCGGAATACCTTCAGGGCGATTTGGCGCCACGGAAACCTGTCGCAGGTGGGTTAGCCCCGGTATGATCTATGTGGGGTGCCGTACTGACATGAGTCTCGCAGCATCTCTGTCGTCGATACTCACAATTACTTCAGCCAACCATGCGCGTACTACTTTACATCCACGCCCTCGACTCAGCAGACACGACCGCCCGATTACGCGACACGCTCGCCGGGCGTACAGCGCAGGTGTTGGAGGAGACTATCGGGCGCAGCGCGGAGATGTCGCAGGCGAGCGTCCTCGCGTCCTCGCGCGACGCGGCGGTCTGCTCGCTCGTGACCGTACACGTGAATTTAGCATCCGCGAAGCGCCAAAGATCACATCTTTACCGGTCGTCCGCGGTTGGTCCGCAGCCTCAGGCAGTCTCTTCGCTCCTCTCAGTGCGCGACTACGCGTCTGTTGTGCTCATTGCTCCTCCACCGAACAACGGCGTCGCGCATCGGCAGTGCTGGGATCGTCACGCGCCGTGCATCATGGACATGCGGGCGTGACGGCATATGAGCCTGAGTGACATGGTCGCCGAGTCGCTGGAGCCTGGCAGGAATGGTGGACGACATGGGCTTGATCGTAGTGAGTGGGGCAACGTGTATTGACATCAGCTATTCCGCTCATCCTTTAGATCTCCGTGTTTATGCAGCCCATATGTGTTCAGCAGGTCCCGACGTCGCGAGCTTGAGCGTTGGATGGCCCGTCGTCAACCTCCATTGATAAAAGCGCGCATATATGAGGTCGCCGGATGTCACCTTGTTCGCGTGGCATGCCCGAGATGTTCTTCGTCGCTAGTGTGCGGCCTCGTTCTGTGAGGCAGTTGGGAGGCGCCTGGGAAGCACGGAGCGTAACAACAGGGCGCGGCTGGCGAGGTCGGGAGCAGTACTGTGGCCAAGGGGGTGGGGGTAACAGGAAACCGAGTGAGCCTTGCAACATCTTCTAGACTAGGGGTGCGTTGACCGTATTGCGCGCGGTAGCCGCATCTTGGTTTTTCGCACTTACTTAACCTGCTCAAGGTTCGTCTCCGATCTCCGAGTCGCCTTTCGCTGGTAATCAAGTCCGAATGGACGATAAGCGGACCATACTCACCTGAGGCACCACTCAGCAACATGTATGTGTCTCATTTATATTTAGCGACCCGCGGCGAACTGTGCACACTGTGACTTCGTATATCTGTCGCTCGTCAAATAACTAGACTGGTCGGCAAGACTCATATAATCATTTGCATATCCGATTCAACGCAGTTCGCGCCAACATTGTTACAGTTAACATGGTAGATCTTACTACACCCCGACGCCTCGTGCTAACAGCGCCCTGCGTATTCACAGGACAATGTTGACGCAGCCGATGGAAATGAGGTCGCCCTTTTCAATAATCAGTTAGTCACTTCTCATGTGCGCGAAGAGACCGTCACTTACAAAGCCATTCTCTTCGCAGCACACAGGGGCGTAGCTGCAGGACTGTCCGACAGTCAGAGGGCTGCAGCCGATCCCGATCAGGTCCTCGAGGTCCTCAACAACAACGCCGATGAGCGCAAGCGCGGCGGCACCCGCAACGGACCCCGCCTGAATAGGGAAACCTGCGTCAGTACATCGCATACGCTATACTGGTGCATTCTTACAGTCGTGGTCGTCTGGCAGCATTGCGCGCCGCCGGCGACGTTGCACTGGCTGACGGACGTAGCCGTGGGCGTGGCAGTCACAGTGACGGTGGTCGTGGGCTCCTCCCATGCAAAGGCGGCGGTCGCGAGGGAAGCGGCGGCGAGAAGGCGAGTGAACGAGAACATGGCTAGCAACAGTGTGTATGAAGCCGCTCGAAGTGGGATCTCGAGGGGTTGCTTGAGACTGGGGAGACGAGCTGCACAGTTGAGTGTCTTTATACCCGCGACGGAGTTCTCATAGGACCGCGCGCATGCTGATGTTTCTTCAGACGCTTGCATTGTATGAGACGCGCATTTGGGATGTTTTTGCGACTCCACCTCTGGGCCTGGCTCGATGTCTTCGGTCACTTCCCTGCCAGCGAATGCGGATGATGCACTGCTTGGTTTCTCAGGCTGGCAGCGGTTTCCTCAGAATTGTCATATAACGCCGTTATTAACCGTAACCTGGGTCGCTGTTCAGTGATCGGAGTCGCCGACTCCAAGTCAAGGTACAGTGGTCTTTGAGTGGTCCTACATACAGTTCAGAGCCGTCCGAAGCGCAACGTCAACCCACCCCTGTAGTCCCGCTGCCCTCGCAGCTCGTGCGACGTCTGTCCAGGCCGTTCTGTGGGTACTGTCATGATTCAACTCGCCGATCAATTCGTATTAATTGCTCTGTGAATAATGGCCTCTTTCCCTCCGTCGGCGCGTAACAACATGCGACATGAGGGGATCACCGGGTACGCAGTAAGTGCGAATGCCGTATTTTGTATGGGGACACAGTCGCATGTCGCCTCGGAGGTGCCGTGTCTCTAGGCACCGTGACCCGGGGCCAGCTACGTATTGTGCGTGATTTTTGCTCCCATGGCATATTCCGCGAAGTCTCCATGTAAGGGTTTGAGCTGCAAGCTGACGTGCCACGTTCGCAGAGATATTTGACGGTGCAAATCGGATGGTGCCTCGAACGTCGACACTTGAACTTGAAAGATTGGCGCCGCGGCATGCATCTCGCAGGATACTGCAGCATATCTGCGTCGAGTCGTAGTAACGGAGCACCGGGGTCAACCGGTCATGATTGGTACGCGCGCCACGTTCCTCCGCCCTCGATGTGTTCCGCTGAGTCGGCGCTGGCAGAAAGGGCCAATCTATCGGAAGGACTGGGGCGAGATCACATCAATATGGTGGGCGCTTGATGTTGTTGACATATGCTTTCCGATTACCTTCAGCTTGCGATCGACGATGGTGAGCTTAACTGACGGAATACGATTGGAACACGGTGATTGGTATTCGGCTTTACGCTGACTTCAGCTATTTCTTATGTCCATGCCTTGTACTTCGCCGTACAAGAAGGTCGACAGGCAAAGTCTGCTGTTCCTGTACGAGGAAGGCTGGACAGCGAATGACACGCCGCGTCAGGATGAAACACCACGACCTTCTCCTGAAGATTCACAGTCTCGCATCGAAGGCTCGTATATGGGTTGCTCCGTTAATTGAGATTTCTGCAGTACGTGCTAACAGAAGTCTCGATCGCTTGCTGACACTGGTGTCCAAGTTCCGACATCGCTTACGGTCCCTCCGAGAACTTCAAAACGGCGTCGCAGGGCTCATTTCTGTGTTTGTACCTCGCTCGTGACGTAATCGACAAACGTGCAACCACCCTGACGAGCTCAATGTCTGCGCCCTTCTCGTCGCTATTGTAATTGTCCTCTAGGTGAGTCGGTATTGGCGCATATCGAAGGTCGCAATCCGTTGACCCTTCAAGATCCAATAGTTGCCTGCAACTCGAACCTACTAATCTTCGTATCACATTGCTAGGCTCTAAAACGTGATATTGGAGTGTTCTTGAGCCTGGAAAGTGAGTGTAGGATATCCGTATGGTGAAACATACGCTCACTTTAGGCAGCGACAGCATAATATCATTTGACGGCGACTTCGCGTTGTCCGAATCGACGTATAGACCACGGAGATCGCGATCTGTGCTCTCTTATGAGAAAATGTCTCTAGTAGTAGTTGGTGCCGTTGGTATGTGGTATCAATGCCTAGACCTTCGGTCGAGTCTCTGATGTTCCGTTCAAACGACGCAGTGCGCCTTCGAGAACGTCCGTGGCTTTCGGCCACAGCGACGGCGACTTGGGGCTCAATGCGGCTGAGCCGGGTAGGTTCACCTCAGTCTAGATGTCACGTTCAACAGCCAGGTACCACCAGAGACACAGGGTCGAGTGGTTATGCATCGAACGGACTCATCGTGGAGTGGGAACCATTGAACCACATAAGAGTGTATGGGGCGGCGTGTCAACACGTAAATATTGCTTCCATACAGGCCCGGTGAGCACCGCCCGCCGCAAGTGTTGCCAGATGAACACACGGCGTGGATGGTAGCAAGGCACAGCGCTTCACGATTTGACGGAGGCTCGTTCTCCTGTCACCCGACCCGTGGCCCGTTTATTCTGTGCAGGGACGTGTTCCATCCGGGAAGGCAGTTTGACTGTCAGCGCGTGGGTCTGGGCTCTCGTATGTTCCTACCGGCCTGGACGTAGGTTAAGTTCGGGGCGCGTAGGTGTATGCAAGCGCCCTCAACATCGCCGTTGTGCTATTACGGATCGTTATTTCGGCGATTAATCAGCTAAGCAAAGCGGAAGCGTGGTCGTCGTGAGTTTTATTGTTGAGGGCGAGCGACAAAACCATTGCTTACTGTTACTCAGGCACGATATGAAGCCATGCGTGTATCACTTCAGTGAGTGAGGCTCAAGCAATACATTATTCAATGTCATAACTCTGAGGGCCGTCATCTAACAGCCCTGTTTGACTTCCATCGGTCTACTTGGAAGCAGTCGCGATGAACTTGCCACCCACGTTCGTGTTCCCTTCCCGTCGCTTACGACCAGAAAGTGCTTTGTCGTAATATTTGCACCGCGACTGTACCTGACGTGCTACGCCGTTGGAGCTGGACCCTGCAGCAGGAGTGTCACGGCAGGCTGCGGCGACGTCTAGAGACAACACCGTTGTCACTGATCGTACATTCGGTGTTGCTGAATGGATCTCCACATGCTACATAGTGCGCGCTCTTTCGACACTTGGTCAGTATATAAGAAGGCAAGCCGTCCCTCAGCGATTCTCCAGTTCCAGCCTCATCGAAGGAACTACACTCAAGTCCAACTAGCAAACCTCGCTTGTTAACCTGCTTCCCTGCAATCATGTTCGCATTTACTCGTATGCTCCTCGCCTGTTCCCTCGCCCTCGTCGTGGTTGCGAAGCCTTGGGAGCAGCCCACGACGACTATCACCCACACCAAGCAGCGCTTTCTCACCGATCCTCATCCTACAGCCGACGCGCAGTCTCGCGGAACACCATCATATGAGCCGACAGCGGCCGACGCGTCGGCTTGTACGATGAAGATCGTACAGCCGACATAGTAAGTGTATGATGTATTTACCTGGGCGGGATGTATACAGTACTTACTGCACTGGTGATTGTAATCAATAAATGAATGGTCGGCTGAGCTCTTCTTGCGTGCTCAAAGCGCCGTCGGATGGCACAGTCAAGGCGTCGTCTTGCTGGTGATTGCCCGGCCGTGACGCGTCCGCGCTGTCCGATGCTGGTAGTGGCTGCCGCAGCTAAGACGGCGGCTTGCTGGTGAATGCCCGATTGTAATGCGACGCGCTGGCAGAATGGTCGGATGGGCTCTACTTCTATACTCAAAGCGTCGGCTGGCGCAGTTCAGGTATCGGTTCGCGTTGGTGAATGCCTGAACGTGACGCGCCGTGCTGCAGCGCGTCCGGCGATCAGGCGCGCGTTCGGACGCGTTCACTTACTGACTTGCTCGGAAACTTCAACGTTCAATGTGGGCGATCCTCTTGACGCACAGCCTGGCCATACGACCCTCAAGGCCTCAACAAACCCTCCTGTGGCAAGACCACTAGGCCTCAACTCGGAAACGAGCATCGGAACGTGAGTGTTGCAATGGAGAGGAAGAAAGGGTGTACCGAGGCGGAGCATCATAAAGCTCAGAACATGCAGGTACGCTCCCATTCAATGTATCTATGCTGATACCTGCCTCATAGGAGCCTGCGTGATGAATGCGAAGAACATTGCGTGTGCTGCTCGCCTTGCAGACAGCCCGGCTCCGCGTCGTCTGGTTATACGCCGCCGCCACCCGTCTACATACTCGCCTGCGTACGCGCCACCTTGCCCTCTCATTCACCAGGTCGCCTGTCCACCATGTCACACGCCGTCTTGTTGCATATCGTCTTGCCCGCATACCGTCTTGCCTGCATACCCTGTCTAGTCACACACCTGCTGTCCTGCTCGCACTGCACCGTCTTGCCCGTCTACCGTCTCACCTGCCGTTTTACACGCCCGCCGTCTACCGTCTCACCAGCCATCTTACACGCCCGACGTCTTACGAGCCTGCCGTCTTACGAGCCTGCCGTCTTACGAGCCTGCCGTCTTACGAGCCTGCCGTCTTACACGCCCTTGCCCTCCATCTCGTCACGCTATCCCCATCACACGCCTCCGCCGTCTCGCAGGCCCCCCGCCGTCTCGCAGGCCCACCGTCTCGCAGGCCCACCTTCTCGCAGGCCCGCCGTCTTGCAGGCCCACCTTCTCGCAGGCCCACCTTCTCGCAGGCCCACCGTCTCGCAGGCCCACCGATTCATACGCTCGGCATCTCTCTGTCCCACCTCCGTCTCGCGCCCGCCGTCTTGCTTGCTCTTGATATTGTACTCCTGCTGCCTGCCGGCCGTCTTGCTCGCCTGCGTCTCGCCCGTCATTTTGCCCATCGTCTCACCCGCCTGTCGTCTCACCCGTGGTGCCGTTTTGCCCATGTGCTGTCTCGCCCACGCGCTCCTTGTTCCTCTCGCCCGTGCGCTCTTGCTCACGCCCTCTCGCTCACGCCCCGCCTACACCCTCTCGCCCACGCTCTCCACTGTCGCCCGCGCTCTCTTCTGCTCAGCCCACTGGCCACTCACTCATCAACCCGATCGTCCACATGATCGCTCGCTCGTCCGTGAGCCCGCGCCTCGTACGTGAGCCCGTGCCTCGTACGGCATGTCGATGCATGCTTCAAGGCACCCCAAGGAGGCCCCAACTAACACAAGGACGAGTCACCGCAAGGAGAGGAGCAGGAAGGTCGACAGAGAGGAGAAATGAGAAGGGCTGACTGCGGTAATTACCCCCGCCTGTCGCCCTCCACCCTTCTTCACACAATCGCGCGACGCACCCCGGCCTCGTCCTCTCTACATCCCCACTCCATGCATACGCCCTTGCTCGACATTCTCGCTACCCCAGGAGGCTCTCATCTGCCCGTTTCCGTCTGTCTGTCGCCGATTTCGTTGGCCTACTGTCTTACCTGTTCGCCGTCTCGCCTACCCACCTACTGTCACGGTTTTGTCTACCGTGTTGCCTATCTACTTGCCTATCTACCATATTACCCACCAACCAGTGTCCTGCTCATCTCTCCTATCCTACTGTCTTGCCTGCCATCTCCCACATGGCTCGACTTGCTGTTCCGCTCACCCACCGTCTTGTACATTGGCCGTTCGCGTTGCCTGCCGTCTTGTTTGCCCACCATCTCACACACTCGCCGACCTGTTTCTCGAGTTCGAACATGTAGCAAGCCAGTGTATGAGGAACTCAGTCTCTTGAAAATGAGTGTGAAGGCAAATGAGACTGAGATGCATTGTCTGTGAAGTTAGGTATATAATACTAGTAACGATAATCAATATCTTGGACGAGAGGGAGCATGGGTGAGACTACTACTACTTCGAAATACCATAATCATATGTTCAGTACAATCCTTGTTATGATTCAGTGGTATAGAAGTATGAAGGAGCGGACAACGAGTATGCAGCCAGAGAGTGCTCATTAAATATGTGAACTCTCTCCAGTGATTTGCCCTCGCACATTGCCTCGGTCATGTCCCCGAGTCGCCCGGGATGGTCTTGTTCTCATTATAACTTCCCCTCTGTGCTGCCATATGCTATGAGACTTTGTACCAAGCATAAATATATGTAGTACATGGCCAGTATACAATTCTGTGAGAATTGAACCGTGGGATGCATTTGTCTAAGACATGCTCTCCATGTATAACCTTCTTAGCTATCTCAAGCTATAACATTGCCAGATTGCTTCGTGGAATTGCCAGCAGCAACATATACCATAGGCACAGCATGAATACAACTCCTGTATGCATTTGATTGTGACAATTGTCTTGCAGAAGCTGAGAACTAATCCACATGCCTCTCAATATCTCCAAACAACACAGCATTTTTGAAACATATCCGAAGATCCTCTTCTCATATGAGCTGAGATTACACAAAGTCAAAGTGCTCTTTACATATACAACAATGAGGCTAATGGCCTACGTGAGTGGCTTGCCTAATCTACTACTATAGTTCCACAGCAAATTCAGTAGATCAGCGAAGTATCATCATTGTCAATTGCTCATGAATCACTCTAAGTCTCTGACAGAACAAGGGTTACCTCAATGTCTTGCCGTTGCATCTCTATTTGCTGATATACCCACCATAAAGACTGTCTATAGAGTCATATAGACCCAGTACAAACTTATAGGACATGTTCAATAATACATCCACACCATTGGCCCCAAACCAATGAGCAAACAGCATACAGTGTTGCACGTACATACCATTCAAGTTGAGTCGAGAATCAAGATGCATACTCTCCGCCTTGTCCGTCTTGTCAAGGTGGACATCCGATAATGTCAAGGAGGTTATCAAGACAGTGAGTGTCAAGGAGGCTTCTTGACCAGTCCGTCTTGACATGCCCGTCTTGACATGCCCGTCTTGACATGCCCGTCTTGACATGTCCGTCTTAACATGTCCGTCTTAACATGTCCGTCTTAACATGTCCGTCTTAACATGTCCGTCTTAACATGTCCGTCTTAACATGTCTGTCTTAAAATGTCCGTCTTGACATTGTCCGTCTTGACATTGTCCGTCTTGACATTGTCCGTCTTGACATTGTCCGTCTTGATACCTCCAAGAAGGCTTCTTCAATATGCTCGCCATCTTGACATCCTCCTTGACACTTTCCGCCTTGAAACATCATTGGCATTTGCCCGCCTAGATACCTCCTTAACACGTTGGTATTGACGAAGATGAGCCAACCATTAGTTACCTTGGGTCAAAAAGGTCTTAGTGAGTAAGAAGGTCAAGAAGGTCAAGAAGGTCCAAGAAGGTTGGCTGAGTCAAGACGGATATCGGCCAGGAAAGATACCTCAGCTGATGCTCGGCTCATGCATTGTCTTGGGTGAGACAAGACAGTCGGCTGAATCCAGACTGTGGTCGGCTACAGATTTTCTCCAGCCGAGAGTCGGATAGTGCATCGTCTTGGGCGAGACAAGAAGGTCGGCTGGATCAAGACGGTGGTCGGCTGCAAAAGCTTTGCAGCCGAGAGTCGGATAGTGCATCGTCTTGGGCGAGACAAGAAGGTCGGCTGGATCAAGACGGTGGTCGGCTGCAAAAGCTTTGCAGCCGAGAGTCGGATAGTGCATCGTCTTGGGCGAGACAGAATGGTCGGCTGGGCGAGAATGTCTGGGTCAGCCAATCATCCCACGCACCGCCTTGCCCGCCTTGTGCCGCCTTGCCCGCCTTGTGCTCGGCCGACTCAATCACCTTCCATGAGACGGTTGTGGTCGGCCGAGGTCGGCCCATCCCATCCCATTCCACGAGACTGCACGTCGGCTGTACCATGGTCATCCATGAGACAGCTGAATGGGCTCTATCACCGACACCGCTGCGCCGACGGCCACCACCATCAGCCAGTGCAACGTCGCCGGCGGCGCGCAATGCTGTGAGACCACCACGACTGTAAGAATGCACCAGTACTATAGCGTATGCGATGTACTCACGCACGAATCCCTATCCAGGCTGGGTCCGTTGCGGGTGCCGCCGCGCTTGCGGTCATCGGCGTTGTTGTGGAGGACATCTCGAACGTCATCGGGATCGGCTGCAGCCCTCTGACTGTCGGGCAGTCCTGCAGCTACTCCCCTGTGTGCTGCGATGAGAATGGCTTTGTAAGTTTCTTTTGATGCTCCTGGACTACGCGTCGTGGGGACTGACGGACAATTTGAATGGATTCACAGGGCAATCTCATCTCCATTGGCTGCGCTCCGATCACCGTCTGATAGCATGCGCCATGGTGCTACCGTGACTCTGGCTATTGTATCTGGTCGTTGTGTACGGGTGTGGAAGGGATGTTTGTGGCGCAAGTTTGGTGGTCTATCCCGAGTATCGGTGCCAGTGTTCGAACGAGCCGTGACGCGACGTAGTTCAATAGTTGTGTCTTGTCCCTTAGGTTTATACAGAATATGCACGATGTTATCGGTCACTTCTACTGGATGAAAGATGTTTCGAAGCCCATACACCCGACTCAGCGTTCAATGGAACAATGGCCGACGAAACCGCAACACTTGCCAAACTAAGAGTGTTTGATCCTGATCGGCGTGACGGACGACGCCCACGCAGCCTGGCGCCCGAGACTCGTTGGTCCGTTGCCTCCGAGTCACTGCCACTCGCTAACATATAGTATCTTGCCAACTCAATGCGAACATGCAGTCCAGTGATACACAAAGAGACAAATCGGTCGGATAGGACGGAGTACCCTCAGTCGGTGAGCCGTGGCATCGTCGTGCCGCGGCGAACATCTGGATCTGACTTGCAAGTTGGGCGTCGTGCAGGCCTAATGTCGCCCAAGCTGCTAGTGGGGAGTCGCCCGCGGTGCTTATAATCCATATCTCGGCCTTCATGGAGGACATAGCTATAGTAGCTCAAGGGTAGGCTGCGGAGCTTGACAGAGACTACGTGGCACAGGTTTGCGGTTACTCGGGACACGATTAATACACCAGTCTGGACATGCGTCTGCCTCATGCAGAACCTTCCCAAAACTTTACTGGTCCTAGGCTCTTCTCCCCTTTACCTCTTCCTCCCATCCTCCTCCTCCTCTCCGTCATATCTGTCCCGTCTGTTCCTCGTACTTCCACTGCGCAATATCGTCTCACCGTTTTCACATCGTTGTCTGACGGTGATAGACAGTTCCTCGCAGGTACTTGTCATTCCCTATTGGGTTATATGTTGTCTTATCCCGTCTGACGTGCGCGCACTAGGTCTTTCAGACTGTACACGCGAGTGGTCACCTCCCGTTGACTGGTACCCTGCCACCCGTGCTTCCTCATCGCATCCCAGTCGAAATTTTCAACGACATCATCGCTTGTATGCTATATCGCGCGCTGCCCACCGCTGCGTTGGTCTGCAGGGCGTGGCACGCACTCGCCAACCCATTCATCTACTCTACTGTCGAGGTCCGCAGCCGGAAGAGCTTCAACATGTTGACGGAGCGGTTGCACGCGTCTGCACACATCAAAGAATGGCTCGCGACCACGCGTTGTCTGAGCGTCTCCGACTGCGATTCATCTCGTCTGACCGCCTCGCATCGAGACGTTTTGATCCCCTTCCTCCATGTACTACCGCTCGTTTTCTGTACTGTGATGCCTAGCTTGCAGCATCTGCAGATTGACGCGGGTCTACATCCTGCTATGACGCAATCATTCTTTCCCGCCCTGGCCGAGTTCAGAACTCTGCAGTCATTGCACTTATCCGCATTCCACTTGAATAGCATCTCGGAGCTACAGCGGATCATCTCCGCTCTCACGAAGCTCGAAGACATCACTCTACGTGATGGCAGATTCACTCTGCTGCATTTCGCTAGCGATGCAGACGTTCGAAGATTTCGGTGCAAGTCATAAAATCGAGTTCAGCTTCAACGACTCAGCATCACTTTCGATCCTGAAGCCGATAACCCCAAGTCTATGTCTAGCGTCATCATTGATTGGCTCAAACGCTCTGGCATCTGTGCAAGCCTGCGTCAGATCGATTTAGAGCCTGATCCTACTGCTTTGCCTAGTGCTCGGAGACCCTCAGCTCAGTACGTCCTCCCCTTTGACTTGGTGCGCACTACTACAGTACAAGAAATGACCATAACTTTTCAGCCTGGGTCCTACTGTCCGCTTGCACAGGAAGTGCGGTATCCCCCTTGATGAGACCGGCGTTGGTGGAATCAGGCGACATCTCACGGAGTACCATGCGGACGTGTCTCAGTGTAATGGCAACAGTGACCTCATTCGGTGCGGCTGGAATAACGGCACAGGCGAGTGTGGCCAGGCCGTAGACGCCGTCCACTATGCGCGGCATATTTCAACAGTTCACCTGCACCTCGGTGCATGTATTTGCGAGTACTGTGGAGTGGTTTTCAGCAGGCTGGAATCCTTGAAGCGCCACAAGCAGATGTGCCACACCGTGACACAGGGCATCGGCAACAAAAGCGTAATTGGCCTCCTTAGAGCCGCTGGACAATCCCTCACTCGGGTCTCCATATCAAACCTTGGTCTGTCACACAATTCGTACTCTGCGTTGTTCGATCGAACATCTGACATCAATACACGTTATAGAAAGGATTCGTCGCGAATGTTAAATACAACACTGCGTTGCAATGCTTGCACCTGAATATGGATCTGCTCGATGAAGAGTACCAGTCGAGCTGGTCCCTACTTAAAGAGGAGTCACGCAAAGCACTCTCTACTGTGCAGTCCCATCAGTTGCAGCAGATAACACTTAGTTGCTCGATTCCCGCCCATAATACCAGGACGACGAGCGTCCGCAAACTTGCCGAGACACTCGACTGGCAGGATCTGCACGACGTCATGGTTCGACCGTGTTTTGACTCGCTTCTTGAAGTCAAGGCGAAGTGGTCTATTGCAATTCCAAAGTGGCTTGACGGGGCGCTGGCAGATACGATTGTCGAAGAGTCACATTCGCTGCTTTGCGACTTCCTGAAACCATGGGTCAAACGTGGGATAGTCAACATTTCCTGTCAAAGTCTCTCTATCTAAGAAGGTGTGAGTCATCATCGTATCCGAGGCACCGAGTATCTATCTCACTTAGCTATAGCCGATCCCATGTTCAACAGCGCAGAGCAGGGCGCCGTTTCATACGCGGGAGACTGCGAGACTTCGCCCGTCCCGCACGGGCCCGCAGTTCCAAGGGCGGGAGCAACGATCAGGCGTACATGCGTCCAAGATACCCCCCGAGCGGAGTCGGCGTGTCCGCGAATAGGGACAGTCTCTATTCATGATTCGAGAGCTCGGTTTGCGAGATTCTAGATCATTGCATCGTAGCCGTAGGCGACAGGCAGGGGACCCACAGAATGTCATTTTCCTCATTATATGGGCATTCGTATACCAGATTACCACGCGTTGTCCGTTCGTTCGGGTCTGCTAGGTTCTGTCGGTCTTGTACTACGCCCGCGATACTATTGCAATGCACACTCTTGCTCATGTGCCTTGTTCGCTCGAAGTTCTAGCGGCCCAGACAGCCCACCAGTTATCTGCGTTTGCACGAGTATATCAAGTGTCGCGACCTGAGACCCAAAACGACATAATTTGCAAAGAAACAATCCATCACGGCAACAGCAGCACGTATCTCACCCCGTCAAAGGAACACTGCTCCGAACCCGACAGCGCGCACACCGCTCGCGACGCACGCGTTCCGCCTCAGCGTCAGCGGTCATCGCGCCGATACACCGTGCCTCCGCCTCCCGTGCAGTCCGCTCGGTGCGCAGCTGCGTCTCGAGACCTTCAGTTAAAAAAGTTGGTAAGTCTCCAACTTGCGTCATATGACAAGCAACCTTGACTCACCGAGTATATTTTCCTGGGAAGTCTTCATGTACGCAGATATTTCTCGGAGCTCTGTAGAAGGGGACGACTCGTTAGTATAGATTCGCAGCATTCAACGACACGGTGCGCACCTGTAGCCTTGTTCTCGTTGGCAGCTTTCAATTGCACTCGCAACGCTTATGATGTTTACGTTAGGATAGTCTGTCATCAAACCCGTAACGACGACTGATACTCACATGAAACCTCCGCCGCTAGCTGGTCTCGCCTAGTTGAGCCAGCAGCGCGCTCGCCCTCCAGCTCCTTCGTCAGCGTCTCAACTTGCTCGCGGAGGGCTATCGGGTGCACCGTCAGTACACGAGTAGAGGACATGCGGGTGCGAGCGACATACCAGTGTTCTCGCTCCGCAGTTCTACCTGCAGCCTTACTAGCTTCTTACTGAGCTCTAAGTGCATTGTGTGATCAATATACGCGTAGTGCAATCAAGTATGATCGTTGCTACTCACCCAGTGCCGATCGCTCTGCGCGCTCTCGCCTGTCGGTTTCGGCCTTGAGCTCTCGCTCATGCACGAGATTTCGTTCTGCCTGCACCGCTATGAGAAAGGCAAAGAGTGAGTCCGCGATAGAGCGCTGATAGACTGATAGCCCGTACATGCAACAGCATCGCGAGCCGTCTGCAACTCTGTCTGAAGCCGATCTCGTTCTGCTCGCAGCGCTGGCCCAGCTACACGTCAGCTGGCACTCAGCTCCAGTACCGCATACCCACTTACAAGCAATAGTTGCCTGTGCAGCCCGTCCAGCAGCGTCACCCTGCGCTCCCTTCGTCTTCTCCTGATCGAGCAGCGCCTGCACCCTGCGCATCTCACACACGACCTGCTCCTTCTCTGTGTTCGCCTCGAGTACCCGGATACGCTCCTGCGCCCATTGATACCGCGCGTCCGCCAGCTCCGCATCCTTCCGCGCCGCCTGCACCTGGAAGCCTACTCAACAACGGAGATCAGCACTTGTGCCCGAAGGGAGCTGAGCCAGAGCCCTACCGTTCTCCCGCTCGTAGAACGCATTCTCCCTCTCCTGAAACGCACGTTCGCGCGTCGCCAGCCGCTCAGCTTGGCCTCTGTACAACGTGGCGTCCGCTTGAAGCTGCGCCTCTCGCGCCTGCACAGTCACCGCAGCGGCGAGGGCACTCTTGAGGGTGTCCACCAGGCCCGCCTTTACACTGGCGTCGCTGCCAGCGCTTTCGTTAACCTGAGTCTGGGGCGCCCCCGGGTCGCTCGCTGTGTCCACGCCCGCGTGCAAAAGCGCATGTGTGTCGTCATCATTGGGTTCCTGTTTAACAGTCACTGCTTTTGGCATAGAAGGCCCGGCTCTTGACGTTCGGGACTCGGAATTTACTGTTACGCAGGGGGCCCTGGCCATATGTATGGGGCTCGTGGCTGTCGATGTCTGAGTGGGTGGAGCGTTAGGAGTGTTCTGTATCGCGGTCCCAAAGCCTTGGGGTTGCTTAGCAATTCGCGTCAGGAGCATGACTGTCTCGAGGAACTACGAAACTTACTCGAGAACTAGAGGCTCCATTACTCCGACGATCACCGCTGTGTCCCTGCGCGACGGTACTTGACGGCCCAGCAACTGGAGGATCGTTTTCCGCACACCCCTTCACAAAGACAGGTGGCGGTCGGAACCGCTTCTGCTGAGGGTCGGCGGGTCGGCAGTCAGGCGAACGGGGCCGCTTAGACGACCGGCGACGCTGAGGCGGGGACAGCGCACGCGCAGAAGATCTCATGGCAGCCCTAGAGCTCGGTACATCCTCTTCCCTGCGCAGTCTTTCAGTCAGCGCATGTGGTCACAGAGTAAAGCAACCGGAGCTTACTGTATATGAGCGGTAACCTCCGCACTGCATGATTCGCCTGAGAACGTGATCACAAACGATACGTTGGCTGCACCCACATGTCTAGTTCACGCAACCTGCGGTCTATTTCTCCGTGCTCTTCCCATGTACGCCATATGTTTGGCAGAAACGGTTCGACGGCTCGTCGCTACAGATAGTTTAGTGGGGCAACCTCGTTTGAAGGACTGAGACATACCATAACATTGTCATGACTACTATCCACGGTATCCCATTTGCATCGCGCTACCGGGATTCTTCCTCGCCAAAAGCTTACCACGTCAACCTTCAAGTTGTGAGGGACTCCAAGGCTCTGAAGGTCGCGGTCCACAAAGCGTTCGACGCTGCCCGAGGACTTGTGCAAGGTAGCCTGCCTTGCCTTCTCTCCGCAGTAATTGATGTCCAAGGTGTAGTGATGCATGCCACCTATCATGGAGACGAAAGTATGGGCCAGCTGCCAGCGGTCGAGCGCTGGGCGCGCGTAGGCAAGCTGCCAGCGGCTCACGTGATCGCGTCTGGCAGCCAGTGAACGACTGGCAGTGGCACGGCTGAGGGCTCCCTCGAGTCTCGAGTCTTGACATACACCTTCTCTCACAGGAGCTTGGAATTGACAGCCGGCTGTCGCTGCCTTTTTTTTCATATCTCGAGATGCCCGCAATGGTAGCACAGGAACTGAGAGTGCAGATTGTCTACGGTGGCTCTAAATCGAATGGCGATGTCCTCGACCTCTTTGTGCTGAAAGACCTGAGAGAACTGATATGACTATGCCTGGCGCGAACTTCCTTGTATTTCGTGCAGCGCAATGCGCTTCGTGTGGTCCTGGAGCGGAGATCCTCCCGGTACGTTGAACAGCGCTCTGTCGAACCGATGTCGTGTTAAGCCCCAGTCGCTCCAGGTCATTCTCGCTTCGCAGGCACTGAGCAAGGTTATACGGGCCTCGCGTTCTCGGGCCCTACTCAGAGATATACAAATGTGAGTTCAAAGTCTCATATTGCTCACGACCAACAGTGACTAGTGAGTACTCGATCTATACGGATTCCGCACATGCAGTTCGATATGACAGCGACACTGACATGATTGTCGCTATCAGCCGCATTGCGAGACCCGAGGCGTCGCCTGCTCTGCGTCTCAATGGCCGTCCAGCCCTCCAACTGTGCGACCCTACAAGGCGGTTACCTTCCGCTGTGAGACCCGGCTTCTCACCGGCGCTCGCATCTCAGTCTGCTTGTGCCTCTACTCACCAAACCTTCAAGGAAAATGTCATACAAGTCTCCGGGTCATGGCTGGGGTCACTAGGGCAGGATCGTTGACACCGCTGTCTGTCTCCGGAAGCGGTCGACCGTACTCGGCGGTCACTGCGCCACTGGGCAGCACCCCTCGAGCTCGGACCTGGGGCTCGGAGAACAAGGAAGTGATCGACTTCGCGCACTGGGGCTGACCGGAGAGTCTGTACAGTCCAGCGCTGCCAGCTGCCGTTCCGCGGAGACCCCACACAGATCCGTAACGATATCAGCACAAAATAGCACCCCGCTCACAGACTCAATTGACACGAATCCGAATTCACTTACCGGACGTACCACGGCGGCTCCCGATTCCCCGATTGCGACCTCGAGACCCCGGCTTCCGTACTCTCAGACCCTCTCCAAGTGAACAACGACGAGCGTGCTGCGCAGATCAACGCGTCAACAGACACGAAAGCGAATGCTCGGGGTCCTCATCCTTCCCTACACCCCCAAGCTTCAGCTCATACCGCCCTCGAGTTGCCGACGGTAAGCTTGAAGAGGAAGCGGTCCCCGATGCAGCAAGGTCGACGACCAGCCCCAGCGCCAACAAACGACCGCATCTCTGGCCGTGATGACATTCTTTCCTGGGATAATTCTGGGTCTGCGCTGGTCAAGCTTGAAGTTGACGATGGCGCGCTAACGACTCCGCAGGATTGCATGAAACGTCTTCCGGATACATCGACATTGACGTAGGGAGATAGTGACACACAGTCACAAGAACAGCAGCAACATGGACAACAGCCCGACTCGGTGCCGGCGGCTTCCATCGACTCAGCACCCGAGGGCAAGAGAATCAGGCACCCGCGTGCCCGTGGAGGCGAAAAAGTCCAGGCGGCCAAGGCGCGCACAATGACAATCATTGCTGCTACCGTCGCTGCCCTCGCCACCGATGTGGATGCGGACGGTGCAGCTGAGGCTGAGGCCAGAATTGACGTCGAGGTGGCCTTGCGAGCTTTGCAGGTCAGAGGCCAGCACCTGTAACTGGGGTGGACCCAACTGGAAGTGCGGGGAAACGCAGCACGGATGGACGAGTGCCACTGGTTGGGGGTGAGGGGCACAGACTCTGCGTCTCTTGCGAAGGGAGCCTCTGCTATGAAGAAGCCATCTCCCCGCGACTGGGCTTCCACGAGCAGACCTTGGCGGCCTGACCGGCGTGAATGCGAAGTCCTTCCTCAGAAGTGTAGCACGACCCGCCCACGGTTCACGCAGAGTTTGAGAGTCCTTATAAGCGGCTCCAGCCAGAGGAACAGCGCGGGGCGCAGCTTTGGGTCCAGGACAGGGAGGGCGTTATACCTCCCGGGACGGCCTGGATCTGTGATGGAGGACTGCGAGGAGGATGGTGACGGTGAGTGTCTTCAGTTGCATGACTCGTTCGGTTCGGAAAGCTGAATCTTCGATGGACTTGTGGCTTCAGTGGGCACGCCTCAGAAGAGGGCTAAGCTCGAGGTCAGGAGGTTCAGCGAGTAGGGCATCGCGACGGGGTGCGTAGGCGAGCTACGGAGTCGTATACAATCTAGGGGATCCCTGGTGTCGCGCTTCGCCACAGCCTAGTTTTGTCTTCATTGTTGTCATTGTACTCGCCACAATCTATCGTGTCTTCGAAAAGGTGTGGGATCGTGGGGCTCGATCGTGTACATTGAACAGTGTCCGAAATCGTAGCAAATACATACCAATAAATATCATACCTCTGCCCGCCGTCGGCCTCGACCCACTCATTAGAATTCCGCACAACGGCGCAGTACATTCGCGGCGCACGTCCGCGAGTACGCCCTCCGCGAGCTCGCGCTGCCGCCGCTCCGCCTGTAGTGCGGACTCCGCGGCGCGACGCGCTTCTGACTCTGCTTCCAACTGAGCGCGAAATGCTTCCGTGTCTCGTGTTAGCGATGTTATTGGCCGAGTGTGAGAAACGCACCTACCGGAGATCTCGTCCTGCGTCGCCTTGCGCTCCTCGACAACCTCCCGGAAAGATACCACCGAGGGATCGGGAGGGGGATGCACGCCATAGTGTGCTAGCCGCTGCACCACCACCTTCTCGCGTGCGGCCAGAGTGGTGATCTCTCGCCCTACATCTTCGAGCGAACGCGTCAGGCCTGCGATTGCACTTGCATCCGGTGTCGGGTCGAATGCGGCGTTAGCAGAATGTGACCTTGTCTTCGCAACGTGCGCAGATGAGGATGGCGGAGCCGTGGTTGCGTGGCTCGTAGAGGTTGGATGAATTGACTGGGTAGAGACGGTGGGTGGAGGATGGAGGGCGGAATCATGGACCTTCTCCTCGACTTTGATGTTGGTGGATGTATGCGTCTGCCTGGCAGACATTGTTGTCGGAGGAACGGGGACCGCGTGAGCTGGACGCCCTACGGAGGAAGGCGGTACAGATTGTGGTACGTCCACGTCCATCTGTGCTAGAGTCGCTCCCTGAGACTGAATGTCCGACTTTGCGTGTACTGCAGTACCTGATGATTCTGATGGTCGCCGCGCACCCACAACTTGCGATTGCTGGGTATATGCGGGCGGAACCGTCCTCTTCGCCGATTGTATCGGAGTGCCGCCTCCGTGTGACGAGGGCATTACCGAGGCGAGCTTCGAGTTGGCTGAGGCGGGCTCGGGGGTTGAGCATGGGCTGAAGGAGACAGACGGACTCCTGGCGTTGTTACGGGATGCAGTAGACACTGGGAACTTCTTGTTCGTAAAAATGCGAGGCATTGTTGAGCCATACGAATCTGTCAGCGATGCAAAGTCCGAAACGTGTGTGAGTCGAGGATTGAGTAAGGATGTGTAGCCAAGTGTCTTGGAGACTAGCTCACCTTGTCGAGATGCGGCTGAGCCAGCCTGGGCAGGGCGGGAAATCGGAGATGCAGCTGCTCTTGCGAGAGCGATCGACCTCGGGGCTCTTGGGGCCTTGCCGCTTTCAGGAAAGTACGCCGACTGATTGTGGAATTGTGCTGATGAAGGGAGGGTGTCGGCCGGAGCTCTCATGCCTGGAGCAGGGATGTGAAGGCGTCCACCGCTAAGTTGTCATGTTTACTGGACAAATCAAGCAGTTAGGCAGATTTGCTCACTTGATACTCAGGCTTATTAGCGATCTGTTGCACATGCGTTTGAACGTCGCCCCTCATGTACAGTATCAGAACTCACATGGAACGGTCCGCCAACAACGCCGGGGTGAAGCGTATGGCCTGGAACGTCGATGATATGTCCTCCTCCAAGATCTCAAGAAAAGGAAAGCCGTCAAGGCCCAACCATTATCAAGAACGAGCAGAAGCCGCACAACTCACACCGTGTTCTCTGGCAGTCCACATACACCTCATAGTGGCGGAGCGCCATGTACACCCACACGTGTGACAAGAGGGGAATCCAAGCGCCTTGAGGTCTTCATTGACAAACGCGTCCAGGTATCGCTCCGCGTCTTCCTTCCATTGATTGAACTGACGTGCTTTCTCAGCCTTATAATGGATAAACAAGCAGATCATGCTCGTAACTCCTGTTTCGCCGCTGACATCGAAAGTCATCCACCAGTCTCAACAGCGAGAAGTCTCATCACTCACCGATAGTTCATGACTTGAAGATGTCAGGAGATAGCATGCACTAGTATGTCCTGCGAGGCTTTAGCTCCGGTCGCAATCCGCTGCGATTGAGACGACGGTCTTACAATATAAGTAGGAGATGTAGAATATCAGGGCTTGTATCCGAGCTGCGTAGGAGCTGCTGCGCCAATGTATGTAGAAGTATGGTGCAACGTGGCGGGAGGTTGGGGGAAAGAACAGACTGCAGTAATGTCAACTCGTGGCTGACTCTGAGCGATTATGATTTATCGCTCCGAGCAGGGGAACGTGACGTGACACGCGTCATGTCACGTGGATGTGACAAATCGCGTCTCCCCAAGTGATGCAAGTCGGATGAAACTCTGCGAGCGGATGAGAGCGAGAATAGCTGCATCTGCCCAACGTCGAACATGATACACCTGTTAGGAAACTTGCAGACAATAACACTGTGCTAAACAAATCCAGAAGAAGATAAAAATACTATCTAATAGACCATGTCAAACGCATAGCTATGTACTGTTCGTCCTTGTGATCTGCTACGTGAAATGTCCACCACCTACGCGCCCTAATATGAGTCACAAACCAACTCTGACCGCACAGCAGCCGCCAAACGCACCGTGAGCGCGGAGATCTTCTCCAGGTCCCCCATCAGCGAGCCAAGCTCCGGCGGCGCGCGGCTCTGCCCGCCCCGCCTGCCCTCTGAACCTCGCGTCGACGCCTTCGGCGTCCACGTCCCCGTAAGGCTCGCCGGACCGCGCACGTCACAAGCACGGTATTGCCGCAGGCTCATGTCCATGTGCACCAGCAGCGAAGACACGGTGTCCCGGAGGCCCTTCAGCTCCCGCTGTGTCGCGAGGAGGTCATCTGCCAGGCTGTGCGGCTTCGTGGTGTCGCTATCGACGTCCAGGTCATGCGGAACAAGGGTTCCCGAGGACACAGAGCGTGTATCTTGAGGTGAAGAGGGGCAGATGTCTTGACCTTCGTGCGGTGCTGCCTCGGAACAGGGGAAGAGCGTACGAAGAAGAGCATAGTGTTCCGAGCCTAGTTGGGCTCCCTGAGACAGACAGCTCTCCGGATGAGGCTGCGGAGCAGAAGGCACAGGCTGAGCAGCATTGTTGTAGGGAGAGGCATCCAGTCCAGGGATAGGTAGAGACGAAGATGGAGAGCTCGAGACGTCTAGCAGTCTAGCGACGGTCGGCTCGAGCTTATCGGCCGTCGAACGACTCTTGCATTCCAGAATACGAGACGCTCTGAGAGAGTGAGACTGCTTGACGACCGCGGCGGCCACGGCTGCCTTCACGGCCATCCTCAGAGGGTGCCTGGGCTTCCGCTTGGGACAGACCTGTGTCCCCTGGTGCACTTGCTGACCGTTGTCGAGGTCGCTGGAGTCAGACGAGGTGGTGTCGCGGACACGCGCCGATGGTTGTTGGTCTTCCTTAGAACCCGACGATGGCGACCTAGAGTCGTCTACAAGCATAGGCGACGGGTGGGTAGCGTGCGGTCTTCCTCGAGCATAAGCGTTGACGGCGAGCAAACTTCATCAAGCCTCGACTGTGAAGGCGGACGAGCCTCCTCAGACTGCAGTGATGACAACGATAGACGGCTCTCCTGTAGCTCCAGAGCCGATGGTCCATCCTCCAGAAGCACCGGCGACGGCAGTTGAGATACGATAGCCAGTACGTCGAAAGAGGTCGCCGGCGGTACACCGATCTCCTCAGCTTCTACCTCGCCAGCATCCGTCGACGTGTCCGCTGTGACAGAGCCCGAGACGTTCGTACCAGGTTTGGCGGCAGCAGCAGCAGCTTCAACAGCTTGTCGGGCGATCTTGCGTGCCTTCGCTGCCTGGACCTTCTTACCGCCGCGTGCGCGCGGGTGTCTGCGTCTGCCAGGCTTGACGGGAGTCTCTGGTTGATCGCCCTCAGAGACTGGGGCATCGTCCGTCGACGCCTCCGGGAGATGTTCGTCTCGAGCGGACAGATCGTCGCCAGTGGTAGCCAGAGCAGAGGAGTCGACGGTAGATGCGGCAGAACAAGGTTCGCGGGGTCATGGCTATCGACAGATAGTGCTGGAGCGCCGCCAGGGCTACCGCATTCAGGGAGGTTGCAGACTGCAATTGAGGGTGGCGAGCCTAGCGACGACCGCGAGATGGCTTCTTCAGTTGTGAGGTCGTCGTTGGTGTCCAGAGAGCGCGTTCTTTCACTAGTCTGCGTAGGAGCAACAGTCTCCATCGGGGAGAAAAACGAGAGTTGGCTGATGGCGTGAGGACTCCAGACCTAAGAGACATGCAACAGTTGGGAAGACGAGTCGACGACCTCTCAGGACGGTCACGGTCCGGGTTATGTACTGTAGCAAGAGGGACGGTGTATTACCAGATTAAGACGGTGGCGTATTAGATGTCGGCAAGCGCCGATCCTTGAGTAAGTGCAGCACAAGTCTTACATTCAATTGCTGCTCGAACCTGCCATTGAACTTGAACTAGAAGCTGCTCCTGATTAGTAGTTACTTCCAACTGAGAGACGTAAATCAATTATTGGCACTAGGCAGACACCAAATATGATCTCGTTGACGGGTGAAGCTAGTGTCGCACTCGGTGATGAAAAGAACTTACTTTTACTTACTCGACACCTTTGCAGAAACCAACCATTTGAATGAAAGAAAAATCGTATATGATCGCGGACTGTACATACAGTCAGGAGAGGATCTGTGACTACCGATTCGAATGCTAAGACACGCGAGCCTATCATGACATGCTACGGCACTGATACAGCGCAGAGCGATCAACTACGTAGCTCTGAAGATTGTCAGAACATACACCGAAGAATACCAGCCATCGTTGATTGGGCGAGGCTTGATGCATGCCCCTCGTGTACCCAAAGCATGTTGCTCTACACCACCCATGTCGACATATGAAGTCGAGACGAATATCTTCAGGAACCCTGTATCCTCACGAGCACCTTCAGGAAGCGAGAATCCGAAGGGCTCAGTCCCGGAACCACCGTAGCCGATAGTGAGCTGGCCAGGCTGGTCATTGCTCTTCTTAGGTAGCGGAGGATGTCCTTCTTTGCTGGGTGGTCTGTACCAGCACTATCCAGTGCGACGCGATCAGCTCAATCATCATGTATGCCCTATAATGTATTGATTGAGTCCTCACCTGCGTGGCATATTGTGAGGGATCAAAGTAAAAGACGTAAGGCCACAGGTCAAAGTCGGAGGAGTTGAGCAATGTCAGGCCATAATATTTTGACAGATCACGGGCATCGATCCGCGCCTGCTTCACCGCCTCAGGGACCCAGTATGTTGAAGTCGGGTTGGGCTGGGCCTCCTCCTCCTTTGGGTGAGCAAAGAAGACTTCCCCATCCGGTATGAGAGATGGATACAGCGCGTTACTACCTGAATCAACCTTGAGGGTACGCAGCTGTACTTCGGGTCGGAGGGTTCGGAGGTCATCAGGGGAGTCGGACGTCGGCTCGTTGAAACGATAAAGGTGGAAGTTCCAACGCGCCACGGCCCCGAGGATGTCGTCCGGGGTGCCAACTCCGGACAGGACTATCTGTGATTGTGCGTACTGGAGCGTCAACGGGTCGAACCGCTCCAAGGCCCAACCACCTTCGCACTTATCTAGCGAGACGTCGCAGTCTTTTTTGGTAGTCACCTTGACATATTTGAATTGACTCTGTGTCGAAAGGAGGGTCTCCTCAGTGCAAACCTTCATCGGCTGTGAGTTCCAGAGGTCGACCTCAGCCCTGAAATCATCAAGGTTGTCACGGTCCACGTCGATGAGGTCGGAGGTATTGAGCACCGTACAATGAAGGGCATTGACCTTGTCCGCAATGAGAACCGTGGTATTATTGTAGCCGGGGACACCGGGTCTCAGCACGGTGAAACTCGTGCCAGTCACCACTCCGTGGATGAGACCCGCGCAAATGTGTAAGACGCTGTCGGAGTCGCGACGGATGCGGAATGAAGTCGCCTCGCCCCTGAGCTCGCTCTGGCTGAACAACTGGCGATGCTTGTGCGACCCCTCGCACACAGGATGCTGCTCCTTCATACCAGGAGCTCCGCTGAGCTCCTTGAGTCCCGGGCCCGACAGGCGGTCTATGAGACGCGCGTAGGTGAGCTGGCGCAACAGTTCCTTCCGCGCATATCCCTCCCGCAATGTCGCGAGCAGGTACAGCGTGAAAAGCCCGCGGGGACGCCGGGTGCCTGTGTGGTCAGTGACAGGATTCTCGCGCGCCTTCTCGTTGTCCCGACAGGCCGCCAAGAGGACGTGCGACGCCATCACTTCATGCTTGAGACCCTCGGGCACAACCATCTTCGCATCACGGTTCATGCCAGGTCTCCGGGACCAGATGTCTTGATCAAGGGTCGCTGGCATGGGATAAGGGGAAAAGACTTCAGGGTCGACAGCGCGCGATGCACCGTCCGAGTCGTCGCCTCGCACCACACCCCCCGAGTGACAGGAATCAAAAATTGCGAGCTGATCGCGAAAATGAGCCACGATCGTGTCAGTATGTAGCAAGTTTGACGCAAGGAACGAGACGAACGTACAATATTGTTCCCCTTTGTATCTGCCAACTGTTGTATCAACCCTCCGAATGTTCGATCAGGGATGCCGTTGATATACTCCTCGCTGCTGTCCACTGTGAGGACATCGCACGGTAAAATCGTCTCGATCTTGTTATTGGGAGAAATCCAGCCCTCAGGTGCTTGGACCTGGGAACCATGGCCAGCAAAGAAGAACACTATCGCATCGCCTTCCTTGATGTTAGAATTATTGATGAGATGGCTCTCGAACGTGTGGAGGATGGCTCGACGTGTTGCCTGTTCATTACTGAGCTGAACGATCTGTCCACTAGGGACGCCAAGCGTGACCGTGAGGAAGTCGGCGAAGTCATTCGCATCGTTGACGCAGCCTCTGAGGTTTCGGATGTCGTTGCTCTGGTACTCGTCGATAGCAACAAGTAGGCCGAAGATGGGCGTGTGTGCATCTTTCTTCGGAGTAGGGTTGCTTGTTTGGAGCATGTCCGAGTCCGCAACTGCATTTGCAGGGGCCATCCTGGAATTGCGTCAGTACAGAGACATCAACATAACAATAATGTGTCATACTTGGGCACATCATTCAATTTAGCGGCCGCCTCCCCTGTGGTCGACAATCTCTCTACGCTGCTGAGTGAAAGGGAGATAAGCAAATCGCAATCTAGGAGTGGTCATTGTCGACGCACGAGTGAGGCTGAGCATCAGCTGGTCGATGGTGGCCTTGGCTCCCAGTATGGGGCGGCATCTGGGCAGTGTCACGGTGTCGAGTGGAGCATCGAGAGCTTGGTAGGTCCCTTTATATCTTTGGTTCTGCCGGCGCAGGACGGAACATACAGATGATTCACTCACGCTTGAGCAGGTGTTGATACTGTGGCGGCGAGTGTGGACGTGCACATGAATTGAAGTACACAATGGGCCACTGGATAAGGACGCACCGTTGACCGCATCATTGCGTTCTGAACGCGCGTGCGTCTCGGCCTGCGTGTTGCCGACCACAGAACAGAACTTATTGAATAGAGCGACATAACCTTGTCTAGAACTGGAGAGAGGAGATGAGGAGTGGACCACAGCGAAAAGCAGCTATACTGAGTTCAGCTGTACGAGTTCATCTTCGCAGGCTAAAACGGAGGCAAGACCCAGATAACGTCAGAATGTTGTCAGATCATTTGGCATTGAGTCTATACTGGGACTATCCTCCGAGAACTCGGAACCTCTCACTGCGAGGTTTCTTTTAGAGGATCCCCCTCCACGCAAACCGAGATGTTATTGAATGACACGTACACTATTACACATCCCGTATTGCCTGTGATTCACGAATTAGTGGACTGAAAACATGATTCGACAAGGAACAACCTTTCTACGTAACTCCGGTGTTTTTTTAGGTCTTGCTGTAGGAGAAACCCACGAATGGCGCTGTGAGAGACCGCATCTGAAGGGTGGATCACAGCAGTAGAGATGCGGCGCTGTTCTCTGGAACAGATGTAAGCGCCGCGTTGAGACGGACGCTCAACCAAGAAGGCATAGAGCTGGCGGTACTTGAACTGCCTCCCAGCGGGCTCTCCGCGAGCTTGCGCCCAAGTCCGCTGTTAGGCTTGTTACGGCGCAGCTTCGCTGTGCGGCCAGCGTTCGACAAAGGAACATGAAGCATCTCAGCGCAGGTGTCTATCGCGGTCGATGTAGTGTGGACTCTTTACTCGTGGCAAGAGCAAGACAGACATGAACTCGAGGTCTGATAGCATGCTCAGGACGTACCAACAACTTGATGTACATGTCCACGCCCGCCTAGGCCGTAGTGGTCTCTAACCACACATCTGCCAGCCTTGCATGTGTCTCATCGTTCCCATGCTTCGACAAAGTACCGCTCGGCGACTCGGAAGGGCGGGACGCCTTTGAGCGTTGGGGTCGCTGCCAGGGTATGCCGGCGAGCAGTGACGAGTAAAAGACCTATGGGGCGTATACTAGGAATTCCTGGGACTCCTGAGCATGTATGCAAGGTAGCATGCACCAATCGGTGCCAGATTTGAGAGACCCAGAGGCCGCGAGAGCGCATAAGTAGTCTCCGTTGCTGACCGAAAAGAGTTTTTGAGAACGCACGACTCAGAGCTCGAGAGTCGAGAGAGGTCGAGAGGGCGCCGAAGATCGGACTCGGATCGCCGATCGCAGTCGTTCGTTCGGCGTCATGCTCTCCTCCAACATGTATCATTTACTTTGTTATACGACTGCCTCCTCAAGGCCTCACGATGACGGTCTTGCCGACCTTGAGCTTGAGCATGGCTACAATCAAAATTCCTTTCCGACCGCTGGCACCTCAACTAGATCTGTTTACTACCCGCGGGACCATCATGATAGTATGTACGCTGATGGCAAGCCTCTCCCAATATCCCGAAGACAAATAGGTTACTCTCATCAACGCTAGAGTTGCTACTCATGTCCTCGCTCTCCCGAATGACATGCTCAAGCTCGGCAGGTGGGTGCCTTGCCACGATGATTCGTAACTTGGCATCAGAGTGTGTGCTCGTCGGAGTCAACACTAAGGACCATGGACGTATATTTGAGATTGACATAGCTCCGGAGAACGTGTGTCGCAAGTTCCGCTTTCTCTGCTCTCGAATCACCTGGTATGTTGATGCTATCTTTTCGTCATTCAGCGCTCAGCATCGCCGTATAGCTGGGACAACTTTGTTCACAAGACCGCATGAAGCTCGAGTCCCACTCGAGTCCATCGTGTTAGGTTCCGAAAGCCGCGCGGACTTCCGGACAGGAGCCCATTCAGTGGAAAACCTCGCTGTTAACGGTACAGCCGGAGTGCATTTTGACCGTTGCAAACGGTAGAGCCGCCTCCGGCCGGAGTAGTCCGGGTCTACCGTTAGCAACAATGCACCGCTTGCAACAGGCCGGCCGGGCTTTTGGCCAGGGTAATGTACCTGTTGTAAACAGTCCGGCTGTATAGGCAACGGTCCGGCCGGACCCATACAACATCACTGCAAACAGGCCGGGTGGAGGGCAGGGTTAGCACATGCAACGGAGCGGCCGGCCGGTCCACGTTGCAAACAGAGCGGCCAGACTCAGGCCCCACCACTTCAAATGTTCCGGCCAGGATAAAATCCCTTCATTGCAAGCGGACCAGCCGGAGTGAAGTCTATCTGGTCCAGAATGGGTTGGCCAGCCTAAACAAACTGACTCCACGAACAGGCCGGCCGGGCAGGAGTTGTCCTGCTTCAAACGGTCCGGCCGGTCACAGCCCCCTGGGGGCTATTGAAATACTATATGTATTATGCACCTATGGGGTATACCATCATTAGTAGATCACAGCATAATTTTCCCATGACTTAGGGATGCCTAGTGAAGCTGTAAAACACAAAACAGCCCCACTGGCTGGCCAAATTAACTGGCCAGAGATTTCACTCACCCAGGTTTTTGCTTTACTGGCCATCAAATTAGCCAGGTTGTCCCTACAGGGCCAAATCAATAGGCCGGACATTTCAAAACATTGGCCAGGCATTTTAGTTCATTGGCCGAAGCTTTGAATTCACTGGCCGAAGCTTTTACTTCATTGGCCGAAGCTTTTACTTCATTGGCCGAAGCTTTTCTTCACCGGCCGAAGCTTTGGATTGACCGGCCAAAGCTTCTACTTCACCGGCCGGCGAAAACAGCCGGTGCTCGGCAAAAAATGGCCGGCCAGTGCGCAAAAATGGCCGGCCGGTGGGCAGAACCGGCCGGGCTGTTGAATTACTATATGTGGAAATGTGGTATTGTCTGGGAGCCCTTCATTCATAGAGTCTAGTATTGATTTCCTAGTGTTCAAAGGTACATAGTTAGGCCAGGATATGCGAGACAAGATTTACTCACAGGCTTCTTTGCAAAACATGTTATTCAACTGCTGAAGCCAATATTCTTTGCCCACACTGTTTGACTATCTAGAATGTGTTATTTCAATGCATAGAGTAGATCCCCAAAAGGAATAGTCTTATTCTTCGAAGCTGAATGCAGAACATGAGATAAGGGGTAAGGTATAGTATACATGTCAAACAATGTTGACTTCCTGCAGCCAATCTACATTCCAAACACAGTTTCACAATCTAGAATGGTTCATTACACACAAGGAGTGAGTCGTCCAAAGGAATAGTCTTATTCACATGAGCTGAATGTGGTACAGAGTTAAGGGGATCATGCACAGGCCGGACCATCTCCTATGAGGATTGGCCGGCCGGACCATTACCAACAGTGGGTAGATGTTTCTGTGCCATTCTTGATTGCCAAACCTTGTGGGCAAAGCATATTGGCTTCAGGATGTGAACACAGTATAACATGTATACCCATATACCCACCCTCACCTTAACTCTGTGCTGCCTTCAGCTTGTGTGAATAAGACTATTCCTTTGGAGGACTGATTCCTTGTGGGTCAATGAACTATTCTAGATGGTAAAACACTGTTTGGAAAGAACATTAGCTGCAGGAAGTCAACATGTATACCATACCTGTATACCCCTTATTTGTTGTCCTGCATTCAGCTTCATAGAATAAGACTATTCCTTTTGGGGATCTACTCTATGCATTGTGATAACACATTCTAGATTTTCAAACAGTGTGGGCAAAGAATATTGGCTTCAGGAATTGAATAACATGTTTTGCAAAGAAGCCTGTGAGTAGTAAATCTTGTCTTGCATATCCTGGCCTAACTATGTACCTTTGAACACTAGGAAATCAATACTAGACTCTGCGAATGAAGGGCTCCCAGACAATACCACATTTCCACATATAGTAATTCAACAGCCTGGCCGGTTCTGCCCACCAGCCGGCCATTTTTGTTTTCGCCAGCCGGTGAAGTAGAAGCTTCGGCCGGTCAATCCAAAGCTTCGGCCAGTGAGAAAAAGCTTCGGCCAGTGAGAAAAAGCTTCGGCCAATGAAGGAAAAGCTTCGGTCAATGAATAAAAAGCTTCGGCCAATGAATTAAAAGCTTCGGCCAATGAACTAAAATGCCCGGCCGATGTTTTGAGATGTCCGGCCATTTAATTTGGCTGGTGGCAGCTTCACTAAGCCCCTTTAAAATGTGGGAACACTATGTTGGGCTCCATTAGTGATGGTCTTACATATACAATCATTCAAATCACACTCTGTATCATAATACAATAGGCCGAAGGTTTTTGAATGCCCTCGGCCAGTGTTTGCATGGCTGGCCAGTGAGCTAACAGCTCAGGCAATGTGATAGGGCATGCACTGTGGACATATAATACATGCTACTAGTAGGCTGTTCTAAGGGAGTATGGTCTATTGTTGACTGGCCCAGCCAATACTGGGTCACAATACTGTTGCCCGGCCGGACCGTTACCAATGGATGGTGCCACTGCCCGGCCGGACCGTTACCAGTGTGGAGTGCTAGATTATATGGCCTGGCTAGCCTGCTATCAATGTGGAAAAATGGTCCGGCCGCTCCGTTGCCAGCTAGAGATGATGCAACCCGGCCGGTCTGTTATCAGCCAGGGAGCATGTGCTCCGGCCGGCCCATTGCAACTGGTGAACTATGCACTCCGGCCGGCCCATTACAAATGAAGGATCCCATTTCCCGGCCGGTTCGTTACCATAGGAGAAAGAGTATCCCGGTTGATCTGTTACAATTAAAACCCCTTATTGCCCGGCCGGTCCGTTGCCAGCAAGACACTAAATGGCCCCCTGTTCAGACAGAAAATAGGTGCCCTAGGGATACACCGGCCGGACTGTTTGAACTGGTTTGAGATACGCTCGGCCGGCTTGTTTGAAACCAGTCCGGCCGGCCTGTTTGCAACAAGGAAATCACAGCTCCGGCCGGAGGCGGCTCTACCGTTTGCAATGGTCGAAATGCACTCCGGCTGTACCGTTAGTATCGAGTAGGTACCACTGAATAATGTGCGGACAGGTGACTTTCTGGAGAGAATCTGCTTGACGACGGCGGCGGCGGCCACAGCAGCTCCCACAGCCGCCATCCTCAGAGGGTGCCTAGACTTCCGCTTGGGACAAATATACGTTCTCTAAGACTCTTGCCGACCGTCGGCGAGGTCGCCGGAGGAGAACGAAATAAGGTCGTGAGTACACCGATGGTGACTGGTCCTGCTTGGGCTTCCACGATCGCGGCCGAGTCCTCAGCAGGCATCCGAGTCGGCGACGGCAGCGAACAATCATCCACATGCATAGGCAGCGGGACAGGCGTGTGGGTCTCGAGCACAGGTGACGGCAATGGGCTAGTCGCTAGTCTCCCGTAGGCAGATCACAAACATGCGACGGCAAACGAACCTCCTTAAACTGCAGCGATGATGACAGCGAATTGCTCTCCATCATTGCCGGTCCATCCTCCTGAAGCATCGGCAGCTGCAGCTGAGATACCGATGGCCAATACCTGACGTCAACAGAGGTTGCTGCGTTCAAACTCTGCCAGGATGATAGAGCCCGAGACTATCGCACCAGCTTCGGTAGCTTATCAGACAGTCTTGCGTGCCTTCGCTGCCTGGACCTTCTTGCCGCCGCATGCGCTTGGGCGTCGGCGTCGGCGTCTGCCCGGGTTGACATTGCCTAGGAGCGTCTCTGGTTGTTCACTGCTAGCGACCTCGGAGGGTACGGTATCCGAGTCGTCCGTCGGTGTCGCCGGGAGATGTTCGTCCTGAGCGGAATTGCCAGTGGCAGCTAGAATAGAGGAGTCGATGGTAGATGCGGATCCCGGGGCCCGTCATGTACGTTCGCTTACATGGATCAGTCGCGTCGGTCGGTCTAACAAAACAACCTGCTCGATAGCGGTATCATATTTGGGTTACACCTGAGCTCAAGCCAAGACACTGGTACGACACTACTAAGATCCGCTAGGAGCCGATTGCTCACGCTCGCAGCAAGTCAAGACATACACCGACGAAACCCATGTGTCACTGAATGCCAACTCTACCTTTCTTGCCTCTCGGTCTTTCTGCTTCACCAGACTATTCTGCTCGATGCTCCGCATGTCGACATACGAAGTTGAGACGAAAATCTTGAGGAAGCCAGTGTCCTTCTTGACATTGGCTGGGAGTGAGAATTGGATACTGTCAGTTCCTCCCGCACCGTAGCCGATTGTTAGTCGACCAGGTTCGTCCCCGTTTCGTCGGGGCAGTGGAGCTTTGACTTTGTTACCAGGCGGCAGATACCAGTGCTGACATACTCTGTCAACCACGAATGACATGTAGATCAAGTTGGGAAGACTACTTACCTGTATAGCATAATTGGAGGGATCGAAGTAGAACACGTAAGGAAAGAGGTCGTGATCGGACTCGTTGAGCAGTGTCAGGCCATAGTATGGTGCCATGTCGTGGATACGTGCTTCCTTCACCGTTCCCGGTACCTTGTACGTGGATAACGGATAACACCAAACTTCATCCGCGCTCGCGCGTTCGAACAAGTCTTCACCAATCTTCTGTAAGAGAGGCCGCAACTGTCTCGCCTCGGGTTTCGTCTCAAGACGATGCAACTCTACCTTCGGCCGAAGGAGTTCCACGCTGTCAGGGGTGTGTTGGTCGGTGGGCTGATTGAAGCGATACAAGTGGAAGTTCCAGCGAGCCACGATCTCGAGGATTTCGTTCGGCTGAAGAACGATGTCCGCAGATTTGAAGGCCTTATGCGGTACCGCGTATCGGAACGTCAACGGGTCGAATTGATCGATGATCCAGCAGTCGCCGTCCGTCGAGAGAGAGACGTCGAAGTACTCCGTCGGCCCCACTTTCGTATAATTGAACAAGCCCTGTTTTGAATCAGGCACGGAAGTCCTAACTTTTATCGGCGTGGAATTCCAAGCGATGACCACCGCCATCAGGTCGTCTAGAGCATCCAAGGGTACTAGATCTGGTGTGCTTGGCTGCACGGTGCAACTCCACTCGCTCACGTGTTCCGCGGTGAGCACGACGCCGTCGATGGGGGACCCTTGCCCTCCTTTCCGAGGTTGCATGCTGAATCGCGCGCCCTCCATGACGCCGTGAATACGGCCAGCAGCAACATAGAGTTTCCCATCGTTGTAGCGCATGGCGAACGAGTTTTCCTCCCCGGCTAATTCGGACGTGCTAAAGAGCAACCGATCTCTGTTCTTCCCCTCGCACAGCGGGTGCTGTCCATCAAAAGGGACTCCGCATAGTCTGATGGCCTCGGGACTCAACAGGTGGTCCAGTAGACGCGCGTACGTGAGCTGGCGGAGGGGCTCGTCCTGCTTGTACGCCATACGCAGGAAATTGAGCAAGTGGAACGTGAACAGACCTCGCGTGCGGCCCTCCACGGTGATACGATTCTCCTGCGCCTTCTCGTCTTGACGGCAGGCAGCGAGAAGGACATGCGAGCGCATCGCTGGGTAGGAGAAACCTGTGGGTACGACCATCTTCGCGTCGCGACCTTGACTATCCGAGTCAGGGCGCCACGCCCAGATATCCTGGTCTAGATCTTCTGGGATTGGTGCCCGATGAAGCTCGGGACTTAGCCCGCGAGGCGTCCCGGTCATTCCGCGCATCACACCACCGGAGTGGCAGCAATCGAAGACAGCAATCTATGCACGATGCAACATCAATGAGAGTTATGTCTGCCGTCGTGCGAAACGGTGCATAGATGGGCGGGAGAATAGACGTACGATGTTGTTGCCTTTCTTGGAGGCCAGGCGCCGCATGAGGCCGTCGAATGTCCTGTCTGGAATCCCACTGACAATCTTTCCTTTCTCATTCTTCGTCCTTTCGTCATGCGGACAGATTGTCTCGATCATGTTATTCTCCGCGGCCCAGTTATCGGGTGCTGGTATCCTATCACCGTGGCCTGCGTAGAAGATGACGATCGGATCGTTGGCGTGGATGTGAGGATTATTGATGAGGTCTTTGTTAAATGTGTCGAGGATTGTCACCCGGGTTGCATCCGCATCAGTCAGCCGGACAACCCGGGAGTCGGGAACCTGTAATGTCCCCGTGAGGAACTCAACGAAGTCATCGCCGTCGTGGACACAGCCTCGGAGGTCATTGATCTCGCTGCTCTTGTATTTATCGATGGTGATGACGAGGGCGAAGATGCTGCTGTTATATTTGTTGGCTTCTTGGAGAGCGACCTCCGTGGCAAGGTCAACATCCCCCGTAGGTGCCGCTCTGAATAGGTGTCAAAGCGGACAGTGTATGTAGCAGGAGTGCAACTTACTTGGGAGCATCGTTTACGGTGCTTCCCTGGCTCGGTATTAAGACTCTCTCCCCTCTGAGCGCAGCGTCAATGGCTATCAAGGCAAAGACAAAGCGAGATCTCTCACTCTGTCTTCGATTCGTCGTTCGACGTGGGATCCGGGTCTGGAGTGATGTGTGTCCTAGCCAGACATTAGCTCATCTTCCCTGCGCATCGCCGTGCTAAACCTTACATTTGCGCTCCGCGGTCAATGGGAACACTCGCATCGGCGCGGTGAGGTTCCTCCCTGTGCGACAATCAGTGCTAGTGTGGTCCGTGCAGCCAAACATCCCCGTACTTTGAGAGTTGGCCTTCCGCCTCTGGACGGCGACCAGCTTGTCGTTTGAAGAACCGTTTCATGGCCTCGAAACACTTGGTGCGCGGCATGTTGAGAAACATACAGGTTGGAGGATTGGGCCGATATATAGCGCACCTTCCACTGAGCACACTTGAGCTGCACGACGGAAGCATGCTTCCGCGCAAGGCTTTTTGAGGGCCCTGAGCTGGAGGCATTGAGACGCACCGTCAGGCTTCCCTGTGTGAAAGTGTCCTGTGCCGCATGCCAGTGGCCACGGAACACGAAGGCGACACTGGTGCCGACCGGACTCCGCAACGCGGGGCGATAGACAGGAGCTGGACTGTGGAATACGACATGCCATCAAGTGAAGGACAGTGGACTGTCCGTGCACGACCATCCCTGTGCGTAGCATTGTGGTTTCTCCTGGAAATGCCTGAGCTACGTTTAGCATTGACGCTCGACAGAAAAGGTTTCGGGCAGTTGTGAGCGTACTTAATGCGGATCCGATGCCACATCAGCCTTGAGGCATATTTCTCAGTTCCGGCCTCGTTCCACACAGAAGCCTCGCCTACACCGTCCCTGAGTGGATCAGATATGCCATTATGCCTGCAGTTGACGTGTATAGGGGGACGCACCGAGACGAACAACGGCGTACAGGTCTGCTCATATCTGACTCCGATTCTCCTTCGTCCCTTGCTTCGGAAGAGCCAGCAGACGAGAGAAGCGGCGGAACGTGCACACAGGCCATAGTGCGCCATTTGCCAGAGGTTTAAGTGGAACATCTATGTAGCGCTGCGGAATGGCGTCTCTGTAGACTGATCTTGCTGGCAAGCATACTCCCGCAATCACGATCTTGGACTGTAAGCTTCTCGGGATTGACTAAACGTGTCACGGAGAGTCATCAACTGTATGTCGCTCGCATTCACAAGTGACTATCGTTCTGAAAATGAATAAGAGTCAGTAAAGGCAGCATATCAACGAACAAAGCACGCACCGACTACCAGAATGTGCGCTAGCATAGTTTATATGGAAGATGGAGTACCACGAATCCATAACGCCATAACGGGGGTGCGGACTGGTGCACGGCGGTTCGGGCTCTCGGAGCCTGATTGCCAGTGTACACAGACCGGCTATCCCGTAGAACAGAAATACACTAATTGGGACACGGTATAAGCGTGAGGCATAGATCCGGACTCGCTTTTGACATTGCGGCTCCGGGAGAGGAGGACCGGAGGAGGAATGTAGAAAATGGTTCAAGTTGATACTTGCCATAACCGTAAGTTACGCCCATGTATCACGTGAGGAGGGGGGATCCATAACAGCCACCGACCGACAGCCACAGGCGTCATCGGCGTCTTGCTGAGTTGACAATTGATCGTGACAGCGCTCACCAACTACAACAGTACTGGCACTATAGAACTACAACACCACAACCTTGCCAGAACCCATATAGGACTAATACGTACTACGACGACACTCTCCTTTTCAATACATTAAGGCCCCCATACTTTCTCCCGATCATGTCCTCCGAAGCTGCCAACTCGACGGCCCTGGCCCTTTAGCGGGTCACAACTGCGTGAAGTCTTCAACTTCCAGCGCAGTTCATGGACTTGAATATTTCCGTACACTCTGACAGTGACAGTGATTCTCCTCCAGTCTCATCTACAGGACAAATCGCTGAGCTCGAGCTCGCGAAAACGCTCTCCGCGCGGCTCCAAGAACAATTATGAGCGAATACCAGGACTGTGATTGGTTGACATCTCGAGCTCGGAAGTGACATCACTGGTGCTTCAGCGTCATGAATTTACTTACCTCTCCACTAGGTCGACCAGTGTCGATGACCAGCATGACAATCGGAAACGTCCTCATACGCCAGCCGAGCACATAAAAGCAGGCGCACATCGCCGTTCAACATGAATCCCTTACCTCGCACCATCCTCTCAATCCGCGCTGCTGCACCCTCGAAACGAACCTCATACCGCTTCGCCTTCAATATCAGAGCCATGTCGTCCAAGACACTGTTCCAGGCCATCAAGGAGGATCACGAAGAGGTTCGTGTTCGAGACTGACGGCAATGCGATGACGCTCACATCGACCGCGCTCCTAATTAGATGTACCTCTACCATGACGAATACAAACGCGCACGCGAGGCCGGCGATCTCGCAGCGCAGGCCCGTTGGGCGCGCCAGCTCGCATGGGAGGTCGCGCGGCACGCCGTCGGCGAGGAGATCGTTGTCTACCCGCTCATGGAGAAGCACCTCGGCGAGAAGGGCAAGCAGCTCGCGGACCATGATCGTGAGGAACACCAGGTGAGTCCGCGTCCTCAGTTAAGCCTGTGGTGACTTTTGCTCAGTGAGGCTCTGCGTCACATAGCACGTTAAGGAGTTCCTGTACAAGCTTGAGTCACTCAAGCCGGAGCAGGAGGACTACAGCCAGACGATCGAGCTCGTTATGGCGAGCCTGCACCCGCACAACGACGACGAAGAGATTAAGGACTTGCCCATGCTTGAGGCCGTCATCAGCGCCGACGCGAGCCGTGAGGCCGCCCAGTCCTTCAAGAAGACGAAGAAGCTCGTCCCGACGCGGTACGTTCCCTCCCTGGTGCTCACCTAACATCTGTGATTGACTGCGTTTCGTGCGCGTGCAGATCACACCCAAGCGCGCCGAACCGCCCACCATTCGAGACTCTCGTAGGGTTGCTCGCCGCCCCAGCCGACAAGATCAAGGACTGGTTCGCAAGCTTCCCGACGGAGGACGAGATGGGCGAAGCGAAGGAAGAGCTGAAGCACCGCGACCACGATGCGGCGGCAGGTCGTGCAGCTACAGCTGGGAAGTAGTGTTGCCTTCAGCGATGTACCTGTATCGAGATTGTACTTCTATCGACCCCTACGACTGTAATACCGCGCGTTGGTGTGAAGCGTTGAAGTTTGAACTGCAGGCAGCAGTTTGCATAGAGGGTGATTTCAACTATTTGCGCGACACGGTCACGTGCATTCTTGTTGTGTACGTCGTGGAAGTATTACATAAGATTACAACATAAGTAAGCACTCGAGAGAACCGAAAGCCGTTACGTAAGGAAAGCTTGCCATTTAGGGCGATATTATTAGCGCCCATACTTACGCGGTCGCCAAACGGCGCGCTGAAGTCGCGCTCACCGTCCCCGACGGCGAGCTCGACGCTGGCTCTATCTTCGATGCCCCCTCGTAGCGCAGCGCCCTCAGAAACTCCTACTCGATACACTCGTACAACTACCAAAAGTCTCACCAAGCCACGCGCGGACTCAAATGCGTCGAACTTGAGCGGCGTGACGACCGTCGTGCCCGGCAGGAGCCTAAGCAGCACGTCGCGGTCCCCCAACACGACACCAATGCTGGCCGACGCGAGCAAGAAGGGCAAGACGGTGCCTATGATGCCCACCGCAGGCGGGGCACGCAGGAACCCCATGCTTTCGCCGCCGTCTGCGTTCCCGCGCATCGACCAGTCGACGTCCAGCGTGTCGCCATCCGCGTCGACGAGCCGTAAGGCGACTGCGACACGCCAGAGCAGTGCGCCCGTCCAGGCGGCGCCGTCCGTGGCGCCGTCGCGCAGGATGACGCGCTCGACGTCTGTCTCGGTGTTCGGCACAGCCGCGTCTGAAACCGCTGGCAAGCCTTCGCCTCCCACGCAGCGCATGCGGGTCATGTCCACGCCACGCCTGCTGTCTTCACAGAAGCAGACGGAGTCGTCCGCGCCAGAATCGCCGTCCATCATGCTCACTTCACCCAGCTTGAAGGGCACCAAGTCGCGCACTACCACACCCAAGGCGACACCTACGAAGCCAACGGGGCCTCCCAAGTCGCCGACGCCGACGAGGGCAAAGACCACGCCGAGCGTGAAGGCGTCGCCGAGCACGCCCGCGAAGAGCGTTGCGTCGTCGAAGCGGCCTGCAAGCGCGGCGAGGGGCGAGGCTCCGCTGCGCCCGCTTTCGCTCATGCCCGGACTTGGCGAAGAGGACGAATCGTTCTCGATGTGGGATGGGGACGACATGACCCTCGATATGGTGACGGATGTGGACGATCGGGACGTTGACGAGGAGGCGCGTGATATTTATCTCGTCTCCGTGGGCGTCACTGACAATGTCCTAGATGGAGACAGCATTGCAGGCAGTGCAGACGCTCCATGCGCGCAAGATCCTGCACTACAAACGGCTGCTCGAGCGCGCACAGGCGTCGACTGCGGCGCAGCTACACGCGCTGCAGGCCGAGGTGGGCATGCTGCGCGAGAAGGAGCGTGAGCGCGAGCAGGGTGGCACGGTCGTGTCCGATCCGGACGTGGACGGGTTCTGTGTCTGTGGCGGCCGGCGGCGAAAGGAGTACTGGAGTGGGTACCGTGGGGGCGAGAACGACGGCGTCGCGGGCGAGATTGACCTGGCGACGGCGCTGAGAGGCGACGGGAGTGGCGGTTTCAACGAGATGGAGGTACGCAGAGCTGTCCGGGGCTTAGACAGGGATGATAGGATGCGGCTGTTAGTGTATTTCCAGACGTGCACTGCGGACAGTACTCACACACCCTTAGGATTGCACTCATCCTGGACTCCTGCATGCCTGGGGACATCCGTTTGCAAATTCTCTTGCTGGAGAAGTACGCCAAGTCGACCTTCGACATCATCGGCAACCTGGCGCCGGATCTGGTATTCAAGGTCTTTAAATGGCTCACTGTGCAGGAGCTCGTCGGCGTCGAGACTGTGAGACGCCCCTTCACCCTAGTCGTTGTCATGTATTGACATGCGCTTCAAGGTCTCCAAAAAATGGCAAGAAATGGTGCATTCCCCGGCACTCTGGAGGTATCACTGCCTACGAATCACCGCCACAGACCCGATGCCTGTGCGTCCTCCGGCTAAGCCGGAGGGCTGGGAGCCCCTGTACCGCTCGCTGCACCACCGCGAGTCGAACTTCCGGAACGCTCTTCCGCAGAGTGTGCGCTTCCTCAACGGACACACCAACTATTGCACGACGTTGCTCCTGCGCGGGAAGCGCTTAATCAGTGGTTCTTACGATGAGACGATTCGCTTCTGGGATGTTGACACGGGCGAGATGAAGAAGTGCCTGCAGGTTAAGAAACCTGTCAGCTGTGTCGACTTCTTGGCAGATGAGGGTGAGTGTCGAAGTAATCAAGGATGTTCCTCCCATCTGATCGCCCTTAACCCTGGTAGAGGTCTTCGTTGTCGGCTTCCACGATGTTGGGTATGCACATCTTCCTCTTGGTCGGTCTAGCACTAACAGGTTGCCTTCGTTAGACGTGTACACCTTTTCTCCTCGCTGACGTTCACTCCGTTACAACAACTCTCTGGTCATCTGAATGGTATTCGTGCTGTGGCGCTGTCCTCGAAGAACCTCGTCTCCGCCGGTGCCGACAAGGCGCTCGTATGCTGGGACTGGCGAGCGGGGACCAAGATTGTGCGGTTCGGGCAGCAGACGACGGTCAACATCGGCGTGCAGATCATTGGCAGTAGCTCGGGGCAGGAAGGTGAGAGGGTGGTAAGCGTGACAATTGATGGAATTGTTCGGGTGTTCTCTATCAGTGAGTTCTGCTCTTTTCTGGATGCGACGCAATGCTGAGACACCTTCCAGAGCGCCGAGAGATGGTCTCCCAGTTCAGGCTGGCGGAGTTGGGCGGCGGCGATCCCGTTCTGAACGCAAAGCTGTTCAATGTTGGGAAGGCGCCTGATAACATGTTACAGTACGACGCCCGATTATCTGTCTCGTCTACAATTACTCATTCCTTCATAGATGGTTCGCGGCGAAAGGCACTCAGATGACTGTCAGTACTTCGTCTCTCCTTGCTATAAATCTCTCATCATTGTTCCAGTGTGCTACGAAGTCCGTCATCCTGCACCTCCAGTGGACTGAAGAAGATGAGCCTGCACAACCTGCGACCGCCAATGGCTCCTCGGCAGATCCCTCGCGCTCCGCCTCCCCTCTGACACCGAGTGCACTCAGCCCGGCGCCCGCCCGCCATCTGCCCACTCTCGCGCGTTCTACATCTTCTCTTGCCACCCCACGCCGCCGACAAACACTCTCCATTCAGGGTGGAGTGAGGTCGCCGCTCGCTAGCTCTACGACCGGAGCACTCAGCTCAAGGGCCGACTTTCGCTCAACGTGGCGCCTGGCTCGCCGCAGACGCCCATGACACCGGTCAGTCCGTCGCCGAGGACAGGTACGCCCATCTCGGCGGCTCCGGGCCCGGGTTTTGCGGTGCGATTCGGACGTGCAGCGGTTTTGACTGCGCCACCGAAGCTTGTGGCGGTCGTGGAGACTCCGGATATCGCAGTGGGTGCGGTGGACCCGAGGAAAAGGCGCGTTGTGACGGCGACGCGCTTCAGCACGCGCGCAGGGGCAAACAAGACAGTGCGTTGTCATAGAGCTTTGCACAACACGAGAGTCTCAGCATACTGAATGAGTACATAGATCTACATGTCGACGCACCGTGACAAAACGCAAGCAGCGAAGACGGCGGAGGAAGACGACGACGAGCCTCAGCAGGAGCGCACACCATCGCCGTCGTCCGGCGTGGACTTCGACAAGGACCTCCACCCGCTGACGGGTGCCTGGGCGGCGCTCGCAGAGAGCGACAGCCTTCACGCCGCGGGTGTAAAAGGCCTGTTCGGCCAGCTGCCTGCCAAGTTCCAGGGCCTAGCGACCCAGAGAAGAACCCGATGAGCATGCAACTGAGCCACGAGGAGGTTGTCGTTGGATGTGCGGATGGAACAATCTAGTGAGTGTTCATGGCTGCTGTCGGTCGTTAGTCGATGCTAATGGGGTGTATTGTAGTGTCATGAACTTTGTTGGGTATGAGTATCGCAAGGAGAAGGAAGACGCGTAGAAGATGACGCGGAGGAGACTGGGACGGAGAGCTCGGAGGGCTCGCCACAGGAGTACTGATCCGGCGTGTCTATTCTACTCTGAGTGCGACTCTCACCATCCTCTGCTCCACTCTGTCTTTCTGACACTGCTTTGAACTGCAGTTGTATCGCTTTGTCGCAAACTCGCTTTGAACATCTTTGCTTCGAATTTTGAAGCCTACGCTTTTCGGCTCACCGACCTAACTTATTTCTGCCTAATTCTCCGACATGCCGTTGCAGCCTATACACTGGTTCGTTCTTCGTGGATACCAATACCGCTCCTTATCGTCATCATGGATACATACTCGCTTATGTGGTTGTTAGTTACGCATCTCTTGATTGAGATGCGGCTCATTATCCTGGAAATCATGTGGCACACCTGTTCATTGCAGTGCAATTCGTTCACGGAGGCTACAACTCATCCTGCTCCTTGTGAACGTCTGTAAGTAGTCGTCCGGATGTGACGCGCAGACCGCGTCGCGGGGTGGGGGAAGCTCTCCGGAAAGTACTGAGAAAAAGCAATATTGACGTGCCGTTCACTCTGCGAACCATGATACTGATGGTCTTGTACCATAGCAACAATGCACTTTCTATGAGACAGCACAGTATCAGGACCCTATGACCGATGACTGTGCATGCATGGCAGAGCAGACCAACCGGAAGGCTATTTGAATCACAGCAGTCATGGCGAGAACGGCCCCTGCTGTTGCCTTCCGGAACTGTTAGGAGAAAAGGCAAGTTCCATGACATAAGTAACGGAATTCCGAAGCAATGGGCTTTCTCGAGTAGAAGCCCACCCGCAAGGACCAACTTCGAACTGTAACGTACGTTATCACAGAATGCCGTCACTGCCATGCATAGTACAGCACAGTACACACCCATCTGATCGTCCCAAACGGTTTCTATCACGGACATCTCCTGAGGTACAAATACACGGCGACTCCCATGCCCATGGAGCAGCCGACGAAAATGCGAATGTTCTAGAGACGATGCGTACCATTGACCACGATAGGCGTGCGATAGAACTAAGACGGTGGTAATACAGGAGGCTCGGGACAGGATCAATCAAGGGTGATTCCAGGAGAACACGAGACACGAGATGCGGGCTACACAGAGCGTGTGGTGTGGGGATGCAGAGTGGATAGGTGGGCGAGCGGCTGCTAGAGCTAAGGACCGCGGCCCAGGGCGAGGCAAACGATTACATAGGTGCCAACACGGAAGGAAGTGGGTCGGCGGGCGACGACGCCGGATTATGTCAGAGTGGTGCAAATCAGCAGAGGATGGAGTCCAGGGATGCGAGACAGACGAGCGAGATGAGCAAGAAAGTCCGGAGGATGGAGAAAACGCGAGGAACCGACGAGGGAAAGGGGCGACGATGCAGAAGGGTATCTTCATAGATTCTGTATTTGCCCGATAAGGAACTGCTTCTCATCGGAGAACTGCTCGTCTGTAGGAGACACGATCAGCCTGCTGCGTAAGAGCGCGGTAAACTGCACAGTGTAACGTACCTTCCTTGTCGTTGTGGAAATCCTTGAGAAATTTCAGCAGCTTATCCTTGTTTCTCCGGAGAATATTCTCGATTTCTGCTGGCTTCTTCGGGTTTGCAACGAATACCTACCAAGCAGTGATCAGTACTGAAAGCGTTAGCCAGTCATGAAGGGGTATCCCGACCTTGAAGACATGGAACGCCTCAAATTGGATGTTCTTGCTCTTATCTCGGAGCAGGTTCATCATCATCTTCAAATTTGTCTCGTCCGCGATGTACCGCGTCATGACGCTGAAATTCGCCCTATCCAACAGAATCTCTCCTAGAAGCTTCAGTGACTGCCGCTTCGTCACGTAATTCTCTGATCTGATGAGAGTGGTGTAGGTATTGAAGAACTGACACGTCTGTCAGTACTCGGGCAGTGGGTGAGTGAGACGAAGGCTTACACGGTCGTAGTTCTTGTCTAGGTACTCGGCCACCATGGCCTTGTGGCGCGTTAACGTCTCCTTCAGGTTCGCGAATGCATCGCAGGAGACACCGAAGGTCGTGGTCTCAATGTAATGCGGGAACGTGTAGAATCTGCCCTTCGTTAAATACCTGCATAACTAGAAGCTTCCCATAATATACTCACTGCTCAGATTGGAGCAAGATCTTCGCTAATGGCTCGTGTCGGAGCATCTCACGGAGGATCATACCAGTGTTGAGCGCGACGTCCTCGTTCTTGTACCCGTCAAACGCGGCAAAGAGCACTTCCTTCTTAGTACCCAGGTATTCGACTGTCGGGAATCGCGCGCCGATTTGCCGCCGGAGAAGATTGTTGAATATCTGCACGACGTCCTTCCGTGCCTCAAATTCGAGCTTGTGGATATTTACGAGGAGGTGGAGGAGTAGGTCTGTTGAGTACGTTTCTGTTGCCAGTTGCGCCACAAGCTCAGGGAGTGGGTCTGTTCCGAAGTGAGCGACACTACGCAGCCGAGTCCACGCCACACTGACCGCCATCGCCGTACAAGATCGCCTTGATCTGCTGGAGGTTCTTCGCGACCTCCTCAGCAGCCTGACAGACGAGTAGAGATCAGACGGTGCATGGAGTTGACGGGGTATTGACACGCACCTTCCGTCTCACCTCCGACCCTGGCTGCCCAGCCTCCAACTTCGGCAGCGCGTCCCGAAGCCCACGAACGAGGTCTGGCGGTGTGCGCGGCTTCGACTTGAAGAAGTTCATAGCGATTCACACAGGATCGAACGCAAGCTGGATGGTGGTCAAAGACAAGGTGGCTCGGTAGGAGGGCTGAAAGTACGTCACGGCAACCGCCAGGAACGTATCGGTCGGGTCGGGTGTTCAGGCTGTATCAAGCGCCTCTCAGTCAGCAGCGACGAGGCTGTGAGTGACACCGTCCGCACCAGCGCTGCGATGGCACTTTGTCTGAGGCAACCTGCTCTGGAGACCAGGTCTGACGAAGGTAACAGGAGGAGGAGGGGGATGAGGAGGATGAGGTTAAGCGCCAGCACACTTCAGGATCTGTTCAACTACATCATCACGTGATTCCATTCCCGGACAAAACGGACTGAGGAGGGGAGGAGGGAGCTCAATATTCCATTTCGAGGGCGGGTGCCAGTTGCATGCATGCCGAAAGCGTTGCAGAAAGTCTTGAATAAGTTGAATTGACACGCGAATTTATACCGGACAGCGAGGAACGATCATCTGAGGGCTTGGCCCGCGATACATCAAGTACGCACTGGAAGCCATATACTATTCCCTGCCAGACAGTGGTAAAAAAAATGCATACACAAGCGCAGGGTCTCCTAGCAGATCAGCACGCAGCAAGAATGAACTTCATGTAAACCTTCAGTAGGCTCCCTCGGGAACAGACATTTGGAAGCAGACTTACTAGTAAGACGTCGGCGTCATGGCGTATTCACTGCCCACACCACCTCATCGCCCCCGTCGCATGTTTGCAGTCACCATATAGGCATCCCCATAGATGCAATCGACTACGAAACGAACAGCCCAAGGTCGAGTGTCAGACAGAACGTCGTGAGACCGTACGAGCAGTAGTCACGGGAATAGCGAGTGTCTGTCAGGAGGAGGCCTTGGGTTCCAGTCGACATTGATTCCAGTGGCCAAGTTGATAGATCGGCGTGGACAGCTCCCGTCGCAGTCGAGGTCTGCACACAGGCCTCCATCGATCGCCGAAGGCCCACGTATATAAAGCGGAGATGGCTGGGCGCTGCAGACCTCTCGGTGCCTTCAGCGTTGGCACAATTACTTTGATTCTACCTTTCCCTGCGTGGCCGGACGGTTTCCAAGAGGCAGACGTCAAAAAAGCGGTAAGATGTGTCGTACTCACCGGTTTGCGTCAAACGCGCATTGATTCGAACATCGCCTTGCGTAAGAGCGCCCGCGTGCCGTGCCTGACATCCCGCAGTTATCGCTGAATGATGGTTGATAAATACCGCCGCCTCGAAGTAGCACTCTGAGAGCGCGCCGTCTTCTCTATGGCTGTAATACATATGTAGAATTCGCATGAGGGTACTGTGGTGTCTGCTCGGTACCCTCGATGTCAAACGGACCGCTCGCACATAGAAAAGACATGATGAGCAGAGGAGAAAACGGTTTGCCGACGCACAGCATCTGCTCCGCGAACAGCATCAAGATCAATACGGCACATGAAACGCGCTACGAGGGATAGGCGCCGACCTATATAACATCTCCCCGGTGAGATGGTACCCTAGGCTGCGCCTCCCTTTCGACCATCACTTCTTCGTCCCCGCTTTCTTTGGCCTTCGCCTTTTATTCTTTTTCCCCTTTGCTTTTGTGACGACCCCACCTTGCGTGTTTCCGCTGACGAAAACCTCGTTTTATCTCACGCACACGCACACGACACAACTCACGATGAGCCTCACCGTTCGCTCCCGCAAGTTCTGCTGCTGTCTGCCGGTCAGATTCGGCGTCTTCTGTTCCGCGCTCTTGGGTATCGCGTACAGTACCGCTTTCTGTGTACTTGGATGGCTTGAGGTCCACAAGTATGGTGAGTGTCCGGCGTTGAGCGGGTAGTGGGCGCCTTGCTGATGTGAGCGCTACAGCGATCAAGCAACTCGTCATCTCCAAGGACGAGCTCGCTGGGCTTGTACTGTTCGCCCTCGCGTACACATTTATGCTCCTGTTCTCGGTCATGGGGTAAGTGAACATATTCAAGTAAGCAACGCGCCGACTCACCATGCTTGTTCAGTTTGATTGGCGCTATCGGAGCGGTCCGGCCCTTCGTGAAGGGCTACGGCATTTCTCTGACGACCAACACCGTCATTACCATCGCTATCGGCATCTGGTGGTGCTACAGGTTGTTCCACGTCAACCAGAGCCAGTGCGAAAGCCAGGCCAAGACACCTGATGAGCAGCAAGTTGCGCACTGGGTCTGCGAAAAGGGTTCCGACGCTGTCCGCATCATCATCGTCATCATTATGGTGCTCGTCTGGCTGTTCCAGATTGGTTAGTGACCCAATCATCAATAAGTATGCTGTGTAGCTGATGTCACCGCCCACAGCCGGATGCGCCATCGTGTTTGACTACTGCGGTCAGCTCAGCGACGAGGCCGAGGCTGCTGCCAACGACTATGGCAGCAAGGACGTGCCGGGCATCAACCCCTACCCGCCCCCGACCGCGAACATGCGCACTACGTACGAGGCGCAAGCCACGCCGATCATGAAGAGCGCCTATGACCAGGGCTCTTGGAGCCAGGATGCGTCGAAGCCCCCGTATCCCTTCGCCCAACCCGAGAACTCGTACGGCCAGAGGAGCGACACGAACGTCTAAGAGCATAAAGACGCTGTCTACTTGGTTAGCCATGCAGCTGAGCGAACGCAGTTCGTCGGAGATATTTACCTTACTGTTTGCAATTGTACATGTCTTGGATATTCGGAGTAGGCCAATGACTAATGATTTGGTGGTCGAACTATACGTTCGTGTGCTGTTG